GCACAGCTTTTTTGAAAATGGGAAGATACTATGGCTTAGAATCTGCTGCGGCTGCTTGCAGGAGGTTCCCTGGCTTAGATGGGTGGAAGTGGCTGGGCTGGGCTCCAGCTGAAAGGAGAGCATTGCTTTGGGAAGATCAGGCAATACATATGGAACGAGATGCTCTTTGTTCTCTAATGTTATGTTTAAAAACATTGCAGAGGAAAAGAAGAAAAAGAAGAAGAAAAGACAAAAGAAAAAACGTAAAACATCCAAAAGAAAGCGCAGGAAACATTCTGAGGACAGCGACAGTGACTCAGAGTCTGAGCAGAACTCCAGTGGTAAGACCAAAGCGTTTCAGCTTGCAGTCTGGCCTCAGGAAATGGGGTTTCTGAATTTAGCATCCACTGGGCCTCCCATGGCAGAGATCTGTCTGATGTGTTCTCATGTCGACCAGCACTGCAGGGAGCTTTCCACTAACACTTTCCCAGTATAACCAAGCCCCATCAGGGTGGGCACTAGGGCATCTGGTGGAGGCAGTTAGTGCTGGGAATAGGCTCAGGGTTAGGGCAGGAGTTAGGTTAATTGGTAGGGATAGTGGTTAGTGTAATTCTTAGCAGTAGGGTTAGGGGAGTGGTTAGGCTTAGGGTTGAGAGAGTGAAAGAGCCTATGGCTCCAGGAGCACTGGACTGGAAAATGCATGCCAAGGCAATCCCAGCAAGGCCCCAGCATTGCTGTTCTTACATCCTTCTGACCTGGAAAACCAATATTACTGAGTTTGGGTTGGGGCTAAGGCTTAGGGTTAGGGTTGAGAGAGTCAAAGAGCCACAGCTCCATGAGCACTGGGGCTGTAAAAGGCATGACATGTTATCCACAGGGCAGTAAACTACTTAGTTATGATAATAATTTATTTTTGATAACACATACACTGTCTTTCTTCAGATGAAGATAAAAAGAAAAGCAAGAAGAGGAAAAAGAAGAGCAAAAAGTAAGTGTCTTGGTTGCTGTGTCATTCTGGCTGCTGTTGGCTGGAGGGCAGCTCAGTTTTCTTCACAGGCTCTGAGGGAGCCTGAGGACCTTAGGTCATGTGCAAGAGCTGGCAAATAATATTAATTTGATGGATTTTATTTAAATCTACACAACTGTGCAGCACAAACAAGTCCCTGTAGACCCACTTTCTAGCACTCTATGAAAGTCAAACAGAACATATGTATTGTCTTGGCTTTGCTGTAAAGTGTTTTGTGTGAAACAGCAGACAGCCATTCTTCCTATAGGTGGAAGTTGCCTTGAGGAACTAATTATTTGAGTGTTATTCCAAGCATCTTCTTTAATCTTAAATTTTGATAAATAGCATGTCTGTCTGGCTTTACCACAGGAAGAAGTATAAGAAGAAGAAAGCTAAGAAGAGCAGGAAGGAATCCAGTGATTCAAGTAGCGAAGATTCCGATGATGAAATGCTCCAAGGGGATGATCTCTGGATTGAGAGGTCAAGTAAGTTCACCTGACTTTAAATTTGGGTGGAGACTTCTTGATGTCCTTTTTGTGAATTCGTTGTTAGGTGTTGCTGACCTGTGTAACCCTTCTGATAACAAAGAGCAATGGGCACAAGATTAATATTCCTCATTATTTGATTGTTGCAGAAAATACTGAAGCTGACAGTTTGATTGGACCAGAGGCTCCCAAAACTCATGCATCTCAGGATGATAGGCCTTTGAAGTGAGTAGCCAGCTCTAATGGTACTGTGATCAAAGCAAGTAAATCAAGTGTGAAAGTTATTGTTCAAAAGGGCTGTTGCAACAATAAGGCATGCAGAGGGAGAAATGCTGTGCCAAACTCACAGACAGAAGTTCTAGTGGTGCTATGCTTTCCCCTGGCCTGAATTTGGGTAGAAGAGTCTGGTTTATGCTTTTTGTCTTGATTCCTAGAAAAATCAATTGTAAGTGCCTTTATTCTAAAGATCTGCAGTGTTGTGACTTTGTAGTGTCATCAGAATGAACTCAGGTGATAATTTAAGATATTGTTGCTAGTGTTGCCATAAGGAAAAAACAGGTGGGAAATAATTAAGAAAGTGTTTAAAAATGCAGCTGTATGTAATAAAGAAGGAAGTTGGGTGTTCAGGCTCTCTCTATCTGAAATGACTGAAATCCCCACTGTTGTTTTTTAGCTATGGACATGCTCTCCTGCCCGGTGAAGGTGCAGCCATGGCAGAGTATGTGAAGGCAGGGAAACGCATTCCCCGCAGAGGCGAGATCGGCCTGACCAGCGAGGAGATCGCTTCCTTTGAGAGCTCTGGTTATGTCATGAGTGGCAGCAGGTATGGTTTTCATGATAGCAGTGGTTCAGTGGAATTTTCAAGAGCTGCTTTCTCTGCTGGCTGAAGAGAAAATGCTTCCAAGCTCTACTTGCAGGCATGGAGGAGGTGCTCTGCTTGCAATAATCTACGCTAAGCTCCCCATTGCTAGAGATGGATAGTGAGTTTTTCAAGGACACTTTCTCCTCAAGAGCAAAAGTTCTTCACAGGCAATACTCTTCTAATTATTTCAAATGAAGAGATGCTTGTGTCAGGTGGCTTAAAGGTGGTCTGTTTGGGCAGCCCTGGGGATGTGCTGGCCCTTCAGCAGGAGACAGATCAATGTGTGAGAGGCTGGCTGCACTTTTTTTTCTATGACCAGCAGGACTCACTTAAATTTTGGTGAGCCAGAAGCTGACACCCTGGGGGTAGGGGAGGCTTCTGGCTGACTGCCTGAGAACAGACATCCCCAGAAATCAGTTCCTTGCTCTGCCACACTCCTTCCTGGGAAGGTTAGTGTGCAGTTTGGATTATCTAGTTTAGCTGTCTGTTTTGCCAGTTGGCAGGGTCAGCACAAAAGATTCAGATACTGACTTTAGGGACTATGTATAATTTGCTAAAGTGCAAAACTGCAAAGAATTACAAAGGATAAGCTAAGTAATGCACCTAATCGTTACTGCAAAAGATTGCCTGGAGGGAAGAAAGATACATCACCAGTTACCCTAATACTTCACCATCATCCAGATCAGCACATGAGCTGGGGAGCCCCAGGCACAGCAAAGGATTGGAAAACCATTCCTGTGAATTCCCACATCTTGTGTCCCACCAGTAGGCAAGGCCTCCATCTTCACTGTGGGAGGGCCCAGCTTTTAGACTGTAGAATAAACAAGCTTACACAACTTCTAGTGCAGGAGCAGCTGGTTTCATCCTCCTCTTGGGTTCCACCTAAAGCCTGGCCAGGGCTCAAGGAGAGGAACCAAGGGAGGTGGCTTTGATCATATACCTTCAAACAAGGCCAGATGTCTGATTTCATGCCTTTGTCTGGCTTCTAAATGCAGAAAGATAAGTATATTCTTATCACACTACATGTTTCACTAATGATAATGGATATTACCTTAATGAGTGGATACAAATATAACATTTTGTTGGAAGGTTCATCTAGAGGTCAGCTTTGGCTCAGAGCCTGTCCTTCAGGCCTTAGTACTTCAGTATCTTTGCTTAAAGCTCCTGAACACATTCGGGGCAGTTGATGGCTGGCAGCTGTGCCAGGGCTCTGACACCCCGTGTCCCCCCACAGGCATCGGCGCATGGAGGCTGTGCGTCTGCGGAAGGAGAACCAGATCTACAGCGCGGATGAAAAGAGAGCTCTGGCATCCTTCAACCAGGAGGAGAGGAGGAAGCGAGAGAATAAGATCCTTGCAAGCTTTCGAGAGATGGTCTACAGAAAGACTAAAGGCAAAGAGGAAAAATGATGCTTCATTTGAGCTGTACACCATAGCTTGCACTACATGGCAGCCAGTGCAGTCCAGTTGTGATTTGAAGAAAGCTGCAGCTGCTGCAGCACCTTTCACCCAACAGGGCCAAGCCTCAGGAGTGGATTACTTGTGCCAAGGAAAGAGAGTTATTTACATCAGGTTTTCTTGGATGGTTTGTTTACCATCTACAAGGAATCCCTGTAAAGAGAAAGCTGCAAGGCAAGAACAGGCGGGGAACATGAGAGGTGTCAATGTTCTGCACTTGCTTTGAATCCAACAAGCCAAAGGATCCCATGGAAAGGGTTTGTTAGCTAATGCCAATAGGTGTGATTTTTTAAATTCCTTTTATTTTTATTAATCATAGGATCATTTAGCTTGGGAAATACCTTTAACAAGCTACTAGCACCAGTAGCAAAAATGAAGGAACTCCTGAGCTCCTGTTTTAAGATCCAGGACAGTCCACTATTTTTTCACAAGTCTTTTAAATTTAGGTTTTTTGTCCAAACAGTTGAGTTTGGTTTGTGATTCAAACCAGACATGTACATATTTTGTAAATTAGTTTGTAATTTAATACAGATGGGCTTCAGTTACTTCAGAGCAAGCAGATGGCAACTGAGCTGTAAAGTAACAGTAATAGGAGGGTCTGATCTTCAATCACTGAAACACATGGTGAAGAGCTAAGTTGCTTGCTTCTTTTTTCCTATGTTATACATAGGCATCAGTGCAGGGGGGTGCAGTGATTGGAACCCCTGGATGTACACAGGTGGTAACAAGGATGTATCTTTCAATTTATTTGAAATGTTTTTGTTTGTGGAAGTGTTCTAGATTAAACCCTTGTTTTAACTCCTGTAGTATTTTACTTTGGTCTGTTTCAGCAGTATTACATGGCTTGCTTTAAACTCGTGCTTGGAGCTTTGCTGAGGCAGTGCTTATATGGTGGTTATCTTTGATTCAACTGCATATTTCCAAACATATCTCCTGGAACTTCTTTTTCTCAAATGTTTTTCAAACCAAAATGGTTTTGAGAGGTTGGTTGTTTCTTTTTTGTTCTAATTTTTTGTTGTTCCTCTAAGTCTAGCAGCAGAGATGTCTTGTATATTTGTATAAAGAAAATAAAAGTCCTAAAGTCCTATAATGTTTTCCCTGGAGTTTCACAAACAGCAAATCCTGCCCAGCTACCTCTTCCCATTTACCCTCTGGAACCTGGTTCCATCCTGCTGTCCCCACCTGTACCTGCCAGGGACTGACACACAGACAGCTGCCAGGGCAGGGCATAGCTGAATTTGCACAGGTTCAATGCTTTTTGTCTATCCAAAAGTAGAAATGCTGCTAAGGAAGAGCTTTTTTTTTTATTTTCATTATGTTTATTTGGTTCTCTACAATAGAGGACTGGTAATGGTGAATTGGAGCTGCTCATCGGGAAGCAAGTCGTTGTGCACACATTATTTTATTTTCAATTATGTCCTGAAGCCACTTTTCTCTAAACTCACACTGTTCTGGCCTGGAGAATGGAATAAAAAGAAGGTAGATTGTAAGCATAATACTGAATCCACGTTTGGCCAGGTGAGATCTGGCCTTTATTCACCACCTAAGGCTATCTACTACAATAAAGAGCATGTAAAGCAGGACAAATTTCTGAGAATGCAGATGCCCACAGGGTGGCTATTCATGCCTCTGGGGGTGAAGTTAGTGATAAGCAGGGTCATTTCACAGAGCAAGATTTTGCCAACTTCCACTCCTCTGCTATTATTGCAAACTTATTTACATCGAGCTCCCTGTTGGGTTTGGAATGGAAAAGCTTGCTAAAACAGAAGGGCAATAACATTTACCTCCGAATCAGCCTGCTGGACTCCAGTCTGTAGAAGACCTCCACAGGTGCAGTCTGCAACACAGCAGAGACAGGGCAGAGGCCATGTACAGCCCCTCAAAAAGCAGACATTGTAATTGAGTGAGAGCTACTGTTTACTTTAAAAATAACCTGGATATTTGCTTGGGGAGAAGATGCTGCTCAGGGACTGGGTGGTGAGTAATTGTTTCCATTTGCACCACTTGTATTTCACAGGGCTTTTTCCTCAGTTTGCTTTTATTTTCCCCAATTTGTTACTATTATTCTATTTATTTTTTAATACTATTATGCCTTTTTTACACTTTCAATTCTCTCCCCCATCCCATGGCAGTGGGGAAGGAGTGAGCAAGCAGTTCTGTGATGCTAAGTTGCCAGCTGGGGTTAAACCACAGAATACTATTTGGGGATCCATAGTGTTAAGTAGAAACACTAAGGTTCAGTATGACTTAAACCTGGAGGTAAGAAGTCTACTCAGTGCAATTTATTTCATTTTTATCCCTTGAGTTGCAAGAGTTCATTGTACAGGTGCAAACTTCAGGCTGATCAGGAAAGGGATTCTGAGACAACTTGAAGGGTGAAGTGACACTCCCTCTCTACTGACCCCTCATTCTGTAACTCCCTCTACTCACCCTTCTTACAGCTGCCCAGAACAATTGTTGCTTGGAAAGGGAAGATGGTAAGAGCAGGAAGGCAGATGTAGGATCCTGCCATATTCTGTTTGTCAAGTTCTGTCAGTCAGTGATTTGGGAACTAACCCAGCCTCCTGCTCCGTGCCTTGCTCCCCTTGCCAACCAATGGCACGTTTCTATTAGGCCACATCTGAATCTCCTGCCATTGTTCTGGCAGGGTCCAGGCCTTGTCAGCATCTTCACAAGAGCTGCTGGCTCCTCGCCAGCCTCTCCACTGTCCTGGCACTTCCCTGCCTCAGGAATGCCACTGTACTCTTGTCCCTTGAAGGTCTAGTCCATCCACGCCATTTCTGAGTACTTACATCAGGTTTGAATTTGGAGATCACTATAACGAAGTAGACACTTGCTGTTGCTTGTGGGACAGGTTTTCTGCGTGTTGGGAGGCCCCAGCAAGCTCTGTAATGGTACCTCTTGCTGTCCTTCAGTTCTTCTTCCTCGAGGAATTCTGAGTGGTGAAGCCAGCTTTCGTGAATGTCCCATGTCTGTTGAACAAACACATCACACTAAGACTCCCTATGCCTACTAGAGCTGACTTGAGTGTGGTGCTAAAAAGGAACAGAGGTGCTCTCCTTTAATTTTTCATACTTCTTAACAATGAGGAAGTGTGGCCTTCCCGAGTGGATGGAATTGTGACTCACAGAAATTAGTTCTTCAATTTGCTGCTGTCCTTTCTCCACTGTGAAGTTCTTGGCTGTGGTCCACGGGATATTTTTGATTACATGCTTGCTTTCTGAAACAGATAAAATGCTGACAAATCCTCCTGAAAAGACTCCAACACATTCTAGTAGAGCAAACACAATACCTTTCTCATTTTCCTCGGCCTCTGGAAGACATTCCTCTGTACTGCTTCTCTCATCTTCCGGAGGGATGTGATCTTGCTCCTCACTGACAGCTTCTTCCTTTTCCTCCTCCATTGGCTTCACCTTTAGAGAGACAAACGCACAAGCACTGAGCGGGCCTGGTCTGGGAGCCGCAGGCCCCGTCTGACGGGCAGCAGCGGGCTGTCCCTCACGGCCCTGGCTCGTACCCGGCCTGCTCACCCCGCTGGGCGCTCCCGGGCCGCCGGCTGCTTCTCCCCCGCAGCCCCGGCCAGGCCGGGGGGCTCCGGGGCGCTGCGGTCCCGGGGTGGGTGTGCGGGAGCCCGGGAGCGGTGTCTGTGCCCGGCGCGGTGCGGGCCCCGGGCAGGAGCCGCGCCGTCACCATGGCGAGCCCGGCCCGCGGAAACCGCCCTCAGCCGCTGTCTCCCGGGGAGGGAGGCGGTGTGAGCAACACAACAGCTCTGGGATCCACGCAGATTGTCTGCTTGTCGCACTTTTGCCGTTCCGGACACAGGCCGGGGGGCTCCGGGGTGCTGCGGTCCCGGGGTGGGTGTGCGGGAGCCCGGGAGCGGTGCCCGGGCCCGGCGCTGTGCCCGGCGCTGTGCGGGCCCCGGGCAGGAGCCGCGCCGTCACCATGGCGAGCCCGGCCCGCGGAAACCGCCCTCAGCCGCTGTCTCCCGGGGAGGGAGGCGGTGTGAGCAACACAACAGCTCTGGGATCCACGCAGATTGTCTGCTTGTCGCACTTTTGCCGTTCCGGACACTTCGGGAGCTACAGCAGCGTCCAGCCTGTGCCCGGCCGCGGGCTCTGCCCAGCCCGCTGCGCTGGGTGCTGCGGGCAGCTCCGGAGGGAAGGAACACGGCACTGCACGGACAGGCCAGGAATGTTTAGCAGGAGGCCGTGGGGCAGGGGCAGGAGCAGAGATCGCCCTGCAGTGCTGCAAGGCCACGGTGAGCTGTGTCCCTGCAGGTCCGTGAGGGAGCAGAGAGCCGCCTGCAGCCAGGAATGACCCTGCTAGAGCAGGCTGTGACACCCTGGGAAGCTCATGCTGGAGCAGGTTGTGACACCCTGGGAAGCTCATGCTGGAGCAGGCTGTGGCAGGACCCTTGTGCCCATGGAGAGGAGCCCACTGGAGCAGGTTTGCTGGCAGGAAATGTGACCCTGCTGGAGCAGCTGCTTCCTGAAGGACTGCACGTCATGGAACTGTGTGGGACCCATGCTGGAGCAGTTCATGAAGAACTGCAGCCCATGGGAAGCACTCACACTGGAGAAGTTAGTGAAGGAGTCTCCCATGGGAGAGACCCCAGGCCAGAGCAGGGGAAGAGTGTGAGTTCTCCCCAGAGGAGGAAGGAGCGAAAGACATGGGATGACACTGACCACAACCCCCAGTCCCCATCACCCTGTGCAGCTCAGCAGGGAGGGGGGAGAAAATATCATGAGTGAAGCTGGACCCAGGAGGAAGGGAGAAGGTGTTTTATTATTTGTTTTAACTTCTCATTACCCTGCTGTTATCTGACAATACATTAAGTGAATTTCTCAAGTCGAGTCTCACTTGCCTGTGACAGTAACTGATGAGTGATCTCTCCCTTTCCTTGTCCCAACTCACGAGCCTTTCAATGTATTTTCTCTCCCCTGTCCAGCTGAGGACAGGAGTGACAGAGTGGCTTTGGTGGGCACCTGGTGTCCAGCAAGGGTCACCCCACCACAACAACACAAATACAAGGGCCAAACACATGTATAGCTTTATTGAAACCATTTTCTATAGATACATGAATTTTTCAAAGCGTCGACACCTTAGTTTATGTTCTCCAGACCCTGCAAAAGAAAAAACAACAGCTATATTTGTGTCATTCTTGCTACTAATGTGCAACACAGCATATCTGAAAATGCAGATTTTCAAACTGCATTTAATTACCCAGGTCTTAATTAGAACAAAATTAAAATGCACATCCCCAGAGGCAGGCACCGAGTCAGATCCGACAAGAGCGGCCAGTGCCCACCTCAGCGGCCACGCCCGGGCCCGGGGAGGGGGGAGCAGCCCCTGGGTCCCGCTTCCCCCGGCGGAACCTGCCCAGCGCCCCCGACCTGCCTTGGACACGTAGTGCTTGTTGACACCCGACAGCCGCCGGTCCCTTTCCAGCAGGGTCCACTCGTAGGGATAGCGGGCGATCCTCTTCTCCTGCGGGCACAGCACGGCCTGTTAGGCCTGGGGCTCCCGAGGGAAGGCGGGGACCCCAGAGGGATGCGGGGCACCGGGGATCAGGGCGGCCCCGGCGGGGACGCGGAGCCTCAGGGCGCGGACCCCGGGACCTGCCCCCGCCCCGCGCTGACCTTGCCGCCGTGACACAAACGGTGCATGAAGACGGTGGCCATGCCGGGGATGCTGAGGCAGACGCCCATGATGGCCATGCCGGGCAGGATCTCGTACCACATCCCGCCGCTGCCGGTGCCGGTGCCGGTGCTGCTGTCGGTGTCGGTGTCGCTGCCCCCGCGCCCAGTGCCGGGCACTCCCGGCCTGCCCCGCGCCCTTCCCGGCCTGCCCCGCGCCCCTCACAGCCTAGCGGGCCCGGGCGGGCAGCGGGAGCGACAGCGCCGCCGGGGAACAGTCCCTGGCAGGAAATGAGACCGTGCCATGTCCGCGTCCGTGTCCCAGCTCGCCCGCCACCGCTCCCGGTCCCGGTCGCTGACCCCACCGGGATCAGCGGTGGCGGGCGCGGTGCACGCTGGGAATGGTAGTCCGGCGGAGGCAGCGGCGCCTTTAAGGCGCAGTCTCGCGAGAGGCGGCGGTCGTTGGGTGCGCGCGGCGCAGCCCGGGCCCGGAGTCAGGATCGGGATCGGGATCGGGATGAAGGAGGACAAGGAGAACGCCAGGCCCAAGGAGCGGCGCGGCGCCTCCGCCGGGCCCGGCGTTCTGCTGGCCGCGGCACCAGGCTCGGGCCCCGCCGCCGGCACGGACGGCAGAGCCGGCGCCGCCGAGCTCGATCGCCTGGAGCGGCCCAAGGACAAGAAGGAGACGCTCAGCAAGGTGGGGCCTGCGCGCCGCCGTGCCCGGTAACGGGGCTCCCCCCGGGCCGGGCGGCTCGGTGATGCCCCGTGCCCGGCGCCGCCCCGCGCTGAGCGCCGCTCCTGCCGTGCCGCAGGTGGTGATCCGCCGGCTGCCGCCCAGCCTGACCAAGGAGCAGCTGGAGGAGCACCTGCAGCCTCTGCCCGAGCACGACTACTTCGAGTTCTTCGCGAACGACTCCAGGTACGGCCGCCGGGCCGGTCCGGGCGTTCCCGGGAGCCGCCGCTGCCGCCAGCCCGGCCCCAGCGGCGCCGCCGCCTCGTCAGCCCGGCGCTCTCGGTTTGTGTCTCTGCAGCTTGTACCCGCACATGTTCTCGAGAGCCTACATCAACTTCAAGAACCAGGAAGACATAGTCCTCTTCAGGGATCGCTTCGACGGCTACGTTTTTGTGGATCACAAAGGTCAGTGAACGGCACGCGATGGGTGTTGCTGCTTCCCTGCTGGCTGTGCTGTGTGCTGGCTGATTTTGGAGGGGTAGATGTGAGCAGCCACGTCTGACTTGTGTGGGTTTAGTGCCTCAAAAACAGTTCCAATACCTCTAGAAATATGTACATATATAGATCCAGTAACATCTAAGTCCTTTAAATGAGCTGGTTTGCAGTGTAACAGCACTCTGTGTTTGCCATACCCAGCTGGATTTCTGCAGCTATAAATGTGGTGTTCTCGTCAGAAGATAAAGCTTTAAAGCCTGCTTGTCATGCTCTGCATTCTACCATGTTTTGTTGGAAGTTGAGATTTGCCTCAGTTGCATTAATTTAAAATATTCTTTCTTGCACAATGAACACAGCGTCTGTAGGATGAGGCCCTTGCATGGTGTGGTGCCACTGAGGTGGCAGAACTGACAGTCATGGGCAGTCTTAAATCTAATATGTCCTTCTTGTCAGCCTGTGAATTTGCTGGTTTGTGCAGCTATAAATGTGGTGCTCTTGTCAGAAGATAAAGCTTTAAAGCGTGCTTGCATGCTTTGCATTCTACCATGTTTTGTTGGAAGTTGAGATTTACATTAATTTAAAATATTCTTTCTTGCACAATGAACACAGGGCCTGTAGGATGAGGCCCTTACGTGGTGTGGTGCCACTGAGGTGGCAGAACTGACAGTCATGGGCAGTCTTAAATCTAATATGTCCTTCTTGTCAGCCTGTGAATTTGCTGGTTTGTTAGTATTGTGAGAGTGTTAAGGTCATGAATTCTGCTATCTGTAGAGTGGTTTTTTTTATTAAATGGTTTCCAAATACAATATTTTTTTAATGCTGTGTAAGTAGTCCCTTCTAGTGTTGCATATTTCTTGTGAGGCTTACCTTTCTGCTTTAGCTATGGGAAATATAATCTATTTTACATCTGTTTCATCTTTATTTTAATGTATGTTTTTTCTCTTAACAGGTCAGGAATATGCTGCCATAGTTGAGTTTGCACCTTTCCAAAAAGCTGCAAAAAAGAAGAGCAAGAAAAAGGATGCCAAAACTGGAACTATTGAAGATGGTATAACAGAGAGCTAGTTTGTTTTTTGCATGTGTAGACTTGAAACTCGTAGCAGTAATTTGAATGTAATGTTTGTACTGTGACACTGTAGTTCCACCAACAGGATGTTTGCTTAATTGTATGTGGAGTTTATGAGCACTGCTTTGTCAGCTAGGAATCTATTAAACATGATTGTCCCAGACAAACATAGTAAAGCAGCTCATTTGAGAGCTGCTAGCTTATGAAAAGGTGGCATATAACCAACCCAGCTTCAGTGAATGTAACTGAGCAGTGCATGATGCAGACACTTTTCATGCTACAGTATCTCTTCTTGTTTCCCCCCCTTTTTTCCCTTCTCTTCTGTGCAGATCCAGAATACAAGAAGTTTTTGGAAAGTTACAGTGCAGATGATGAAAAATTAACCTCCACTCCTGAAACTTTGTTGGAGGAAATAGAGGCAAGAAACAAAGAGCTAATAGGTATGGAAATGTGTGTACTATAGTTATATTTTCCTAGATCACAAAGAAACAAATATGTTTTGTAATTTGAAGCTCAGCCTGGAGGAGACTGAATTCTTTTGTACTATTTGTTAAACATTTAGGCTAATATTATTGTGTGTTTTGTTTTGTTCCCATGCTCTAAATTCTTCTGTAGGTGTAGGTTTTAGATGACAAAGTTCCTTCCAGTTGCAGATGTTTGTTAGCCAGACCAGGCCGTGGAGTGGCTGCATTTCAGTGACATGCAGTGGTGTTTAATGCACAGTGCTGTGATCAGTGATGTTCCGTGCAGGCACAAGTTTAGAGGTAGTGTTGTTGGGTGAAATACCACCATAAAATGACCAGGCTGTTCTTTTTAAGTATCTTACAGGGGTCTCTTTAAAAATGAGAGTGTCTGGGAAAAGCGTAATGCAGACTGAATGTAGAGATAGGTGTAATGGATATCCTATTAATATCCTAAAGAAGTTTATAGAATCCTAATAGTTGCCACTGTTTGGAGATAGGTTTGGAATATTTGTTTCACTGCTGTGTTGCTGTATGACAGGCAGAGGAATGTGTAAAGCTGCTTCATATAGAGCTCTGTTGTAGGTTTTGCAGTATTGGGTAAGTCAAGATACTTACATTTGTTTTTATCTATTCTCCAGCTAAAAAGACTACTCCTTTATTGAACTTCTTGAAAAACAAACAGGTAAGACTTACCTCCAGAATTTTCTTGTTGTTTGCAAGTACAGTTTGCTCATTGTATGTTGATATATTTCTGCCCTTCCTTTTGAAGAAGGAGCTTTTGACCCAAACTATCAGCTTCTGGTTCATATATTTTAAAGGAGTAGAGTGTTGGATTGGTGGTGCTTTGTGTACATCTGGTCACAGCAAAACGCCTCTTTTTGCACTGACAAAACAGTTTCCATTTAGTGCTTCCATTTTTAGTGCAGTATGGCTGAGGTCCTTGTAGATGATCTTTCTCCTGGCACATAATGTTATTTTAACTTCTTGCAATGGAGATAGTCAGAAGTGGGGCAAATTTAATTAAAATTTGAATGGTAGAGGCTGAGGCCAGTGATGTATTTGAGTTTTCTAAGACAGTACAAATTAAGGCTTATAAGTAAAATAAATACTGCTACAACGGGTTCACAACTGCTGTTTGTGTTTACAACAACAGAGATGACAGGACTTTTTTTTATTTTATAGTAGAGGCAGCTTTGAGCTTAAAGAGATGTTTTCTGGTGTGGAGAGACACTTTCTCTTTGTTTTTACATACACAGAGACTGAGAGAAGAAAAAAGAGAGGAGAGAAGGAGGAGAGAATTAGAAAGAAAAAGACAAAGAGAAGAAGAAAGAAGAAAATGGAAAGAAGAGGAGAGAAGGAAGAGAAAAGAAGCAGAAAAATTGAAGAAAGTAGACAGATGCCCAGAAAAAGAAAGAGACAGATCAAAAGAAGAACCAAAGATTAAGGTCTAGAACAGTTCTTTATTATAAACTGTTACACTCCCTTTCCCCTATTATTTGTATATCAGTCTCAAAATGTACTTTGAGTATTGTGTAAAGAATCATAGGAGTTTGGTGTTAGTAAATGACCAATTTTTTTTGTAATATTCAGTAGTAGGCATTGTAAAGGTTTACATGCTGTAATGTTTCATAGTAATATTTAAAGTTTTTGTCATGTGACTGTTGTACGTGCTGCGGTAAACAGGATTGTGAATTCACTATGGAATGGAGACTATTTTTAAGCTTTCTAAAACAGCCTGGTTTAGGAGAAAAACCCTAGTCTGCTGTGTGAATTATAAGCTTACTCATACACTCCAGCTTCTAGAAATACTGTGATTTGCAGTAATGTTTCTTTAATGTTTACTTCTTACTGGACTCTGGTTCCTTTGATGCAATTTCGGTGTTGTGCCAGACAATATGTGTTAGAGTGAGCTTTTTAGTTGAGACTTCTGTTTTCTTTGTAGCTACTTAAGAAGCCTGAAAAAGATGAAAAAGACTTGGAGAGAAAAGAAAAATCCAAGAAACTGGAAAGAGAGACTCTGAGGGAGGAAAAAAATGCGAGTAGTGCATCTGCCAAACGATCTGATGGGGAGACAAAAGAAGAGAAGGCAAAAAAGTATTCTAGTACTTGCTATAAATATATATGTATCTATAACTTGTTTCCTGATTGTACTGAGGCTTAGGCTGCTCTGCCATGACCATGTTTTGAAATTCCTTTCAAATGCTTTTTCTCATATAAGGCATGAGCTGTGTTCTCTGTGCCAGTGCACATCCCCATGATTACAGAAAGCTCTGTGAATTACCTGGAAATTCTTCATTAGTGGACAGATTTTAATATTTTTACAACTCATTATAGGAACTCCACTAAGGAAGCCCATATCTAGGTGAATGCAGCAGGCTGTTAGCACTGTCCTTGCAGTTATTATGACCATGGCAAGAGGAGAGGTGTTCTCCAGTTACCAGTCCCTCTAAGTCTTGTAAAAAGTCAAAGTGGAAAATGTAATTCTCAACAGCTCCGTGATCTGTTTGAGGTTCAGTTCTGCCATGTGAGACAGTCTCATAAAAAGTCAAAGTGGAAATGTAATTCTCAACAGCTCCGTGATCTGTTTGAGGTTCAGTTCTGCCATGTGAGAAATACAGATAAGGCAGACAAACTCAGATGTTTTTTTTTTTCAAAGCCAGAAGAGACTCAGCCAGCTATGCCAGTAGGAGGCTGGGAAGCTCTAGTGGTCAGTGTCCTCTCTGGCTGCCATGCATGACTTGGGCTGTCACAGCCTCCCAAGAGCTCCCTAGTACCTGCCAGTGTGTCATCTTCCTATTGCACATTTACACCACTATTACATTGATCTCCCAGCTCTGTTTGATGAATCTTTTGAGCTTAATTTTCAGTTTTGTTTTCATACAGATCAGAAGATGAGTGTGTAAAGGACTACAGGGACCGAGATAGAGATTTTGACAGAGACAGAGAATATGAGAGAGCACAGAGAGAGAAGCTGAGACGCCAAGAAGAGGAGCGTCGGAGGCAGAAAGAGCGCTATGAGAAAGAGAAGGTTTTTAGAAGAAAAGAGGAAGATGTGAAAAAGGAGAGAGACTTGCTCAGAGAAAAGGGAAAGAAAAGTGATCTTACAGACTTTACCAGCAGCATGGACAAATCTGAGAAAGTAACCAAAGACGATAAAAAAGAGGATACAATTAAGAGGGATCGTATCAGAAACAAGGTGCTGGATTTGTTTAAATTCATGTGTTGATTCACAGGGATCTATGGTTTTTAGGATAAAAGCACTTCAAGGAGAGAACCATGTGGTTTCTCTGTTGAAACTTCTCCCTGTTGTGCAACAAACTCTGCCATTGCTAGAAATTTCCACTAAAATTAGCTTAACAGTGGTATTTTTTGTCACTGTGTAAGAACTAATCCAAGAAAACATGGGTTAAATTGTAAGACACTGATCCTTTTTATTTGCTGACTTGTCCCATAGGCTGTCTCTTTAAGGTGTTGGTAGAGTATCAGTAATCTCTTTGTGTCTGCTGATCTTATGATGCCTGGAAATGCATCTCAGTGTGGGAGTGTGATTAAACAGGTTCCTTAAAATAGGAAACTGCAACTTGCAGAATATGACACGTGCTCTAGGCTCAAGAAATAATGTCTTGAGTGTAATTTTATGTACTCTACAAAATGTGGTTTTGCACTATCTGTGTGCCTGTTTTCTGTATCGCTTAAGGCATTGTCAGGTACAAATGAAACAAACTCAAGGTTTTGAAACTTTGAAGTTGGCCTCTCTTCTGAGAGGATGTGAGCTGAATTCAACAGGAAACTCGTTGCAAATAACCTCAACTATGAGCAGTGTTCATTGTGGTTTGAACAGGGATGTTGCTTTATAACAGAGACAGCCTTGATTTGGGACAATTGAAGTTACTTTGCCACCACTGTGGAATAATTGAACATAGCCTGAAAAGTTTGAATTTGAGCCATTTCTAATACCATAGAAATGATGCCATAATAACCCTGAGAGCAGGGAGTTATGAAAGACTCTAAACAGTTGTGGTTTATTTCAGGATCGCCCAGCAATGCAGCTGTACCAGCCCGGAGCGCGAAGCCGGAGCAGATTGTGTCAGTATGAAGACAGTGCTGCAAAGCCCCCAGATCAGGCAGTGGATAAGAAACAAGAGGGTGAGACCAGTCACACGAAGGAAGAGGAGTGACTGATGTGGCAGCCTTATGTGTTCTGACTGTCTGTGCAGCCAAAGAGCATGTACTACTACGCAATCCAGAAGTGCCTTCGGAGCGAAAAAGGAACAAAGGAAGAAAAGGGGGCATTGTGCTGTTGGATGTTTCTGGTTAAAGAACCTCAGTTGTAGTTTCCAAATTTGAAATGTGTTCTCATTGTAATATTTTCAGTTATTTGAACTTATTTTCCCAGCATCTAACTACAGCAGAGAAGAGAATCTTTGTGAAATTGAAAGACTTTATGGCCTTAAGTTTGATAATAAACCAGTTGTGGTCAGGAGGGAATGACACCTGGATCAAAAGCCAGAGCTCTACTCTAAGGCAATTAGAGCCAGTGTTGGATGCACTTAAGCAGAGCAAGCTTGGAGTTGCCTGGAGTTCACACAGGTGTTGCTGTGTTGTGTGGTGCTCCTGCATGAGGCAGTGAAAGATGAAGTGTGTCAGTCTCACACTGAGCCAGATACACAGGCTGGGGCTGTTGAGGTGCCAGTGGATAGGAGCCTTTTGGCACACAGGGAGCAGAACATCTGGCAGTGCTGTGACCGTGTTAGGGAGGGAGAGACCGTCATCTTCAGTGGTTCTCTGGATAAAGTAACTTAAGTTGGAGTGTATGAATAAGCTGGCTTAATAGTTGAATATGACTTGATAAATTCTCATGTAAAGTCTCCCTACATTGAAATGCTTATTTTTAATCAAATGTAGCTGGTTTGGGCATCCTGTTCTTTTCCAGCATCTTCCCTTCACTCAAGTCTGAAATGTTTCTGACCTCCTGCCCTGTCGGAACTGCTTCCTCTTCCCTCATAACTTGAAGCATTGTTTTACAGCCCAGAACGAGACTCCGCCAGTAGCAGGCCCTCCCAAGCTAGCGAACTTTAGCCATAGCTGTTTTTTGTACTAAACCCAATAAACTCGCACAAACTCGCTCCCCGCCGCCGTTCCTGCTGCGCGGGGCCGCCGGGCCGCCAGGGGGCGCTGCGCCCACCGCCCCGCCCCTTTTCCGCCGCCTCGGCCGCCGCCATCGCCGGGACGCGGGAGGGAGCCGGGCGCGGCGTTCCCGGCGGGCCGCGGCCTGGCGGGGCCGTGCCGGGGCGGGGGAGGCACTGACCGCTGCGCTCTCTTGCAGTCGTCGCACAAGACGTTCAAGATCAAACGCTTCCTCGCCAAGAAGCAGAAGCAGAACCGGCCCATCCCGCAGTGGATTCGCATGAAAACCGGCAATAAGATCAGGTAGCGAGCTCGGCCGGTGCGCTGTGAGGAGCTGCGGGCCCGGTGCGGCGGTGCGGGCCCGGTGCGGCGGTACGGGCCGCGGCGGCGCTGGTGCCGTTTGTGCCGCCGCAGCGCAGCCTTGTGCCCTGCGGGCCGTGCGGGGATGGCAGGGCAGCGAGGCTTCCGTGCCGTTTTTTCTGTAGTGGTTTTGCATCCGTGCTCTGCAAGTGTCCACAACGTTTAGCAGTGGTACATGTAAAGTGAAAACCTGAACTGTACGTGTGGATGATTTATTCCAGATTTTGTTCTCTGTTCCTGACGTTCCCCTTCCCAATGCCTGTCTTCTCTCTTAGCTTTTCAAGGAATGGTTCCTGAGCATGGGTGCTCTGAGATTCAGGGAGCAAAGGAAGCAAAGGACTTGGATGTATGGGAAGTCAGATTGATAGTATGAGATGCTTGGCACCTGGCTGTAGAATTAATTCTTCTCATAGTTCCTTGCTTTCCTGTTGTGTTTCTCGAGCATTGTGCTTAGGGAGATGCTGAGTGCTGTGACACAATGGGTGCACATGGGGAGTGCACAGGGCCGTGCCTGTCCAAGCCCTCTGGCTGAAAACTGCACCGTAGTTTTTTATCTCATACACTCCTTCATCTGGGCTTTTTAAGGCAACAGAACTGCCTCTTCTCTCTTTGTCCTAAGCAGTGAGGAGAGCAACAGCAGCATTGGCTGGCTCAGGCAGTGACCCAGCACAACACTGCTGGGTTCTGTTCCTGTAGCTGCTCCCACCTTGTTTGTAGGATCAGTGGTTCTTGCACTCAGCTGGATCCTTGTGTTCCACGTGCCAGGTCATAACTGGGTTCTGTTTCAGATGAATTGCAGTACTCTGAAATGCTTGACCCTAGGACAAGTCATGGATTCTGGTCTCCTGACACTTGGGTAGCTGGGCCATGGGTTCTGTCCAAGCTTTGTGTTAAAGCAGGCTGCAATTGCAGCGCTTCCTTCTGTGGGAGTGCTGCCATTTTCCTGCTGAGAGCAACTCTGTTAACACTGTCTGTGCTTTCACCCACACCGTGGTGAAAGCATTTGTTCTTAACATGGACATTTGTTCTTAACATGCTCACAAATTAATGTGCTTTCATGGAAGAGACTTTCCACGTGCTGTTCTGCTTTCATGTTTAACAAATGTGTGTGTACATGTTGCTAATTCACTCTGCTTCTGTCTTAGGTACAACTCCAAAAGGAGACACTGGAGGAGGACCAAACTGGGCTTGTGAGAGACTGTCCCAGGAGCTCTAATGAACACTGGTCTTTGTGTGTCAGATCGTTAACACCCTCGAGTCACTCCTTCTGTGGTGCTGGAGCACAGTCCCCAGTGTGGGGTTTTTATAAGCTGCTCTGGGATGTTGATGTTATCTGGGAAAACCTTTGTATCTGAAACATGGAGACTGTGTTCTGTTAGTGTTCTCTCAGGCATCACCGTGAGCATTGAAACTGCACAGGCTCTCTAATAAATATGGACCTGAATGACTCTTGTTTTGAAAATTATTTCATATGTATATGATGGGATTGCACCTTGGCAGCTCTTCTCAGGTAGAGTAGTCTCTGTCTTCCTTTTCAGACTATAAACCTTCAGGAGCAAAGTACCAATTAAAAAAAAACCCCTCAAAATCAGACCTGAAGAAAATCTCTTACAGAATGCAGTACTGTGGAGTGCAGTGCATAATGTCTGTGTACTCCCTATAATGTTAAATACCATGAGTTTTGGTGGGGATTCTGTGTTGGTTTGATAAATCAACACCAACCACAAGTGCACCTTAGTATAAAACATTCTCAGCAGACAGGTAGAAATTTTAAGATGGAGCTCAAAGGGAGAGTTTGCAGCTATTTAAAAAAGGGGGGAGGGAAAAGGGGATTAAGGGTCTCTGGGCACTCTGGCACTCCAGCTCCCCTGTGCTGTGTTCTCTGCTGGGGCCTGTGAAATCAGTTCACTGCAGGGAGGTGGAGGAGGAGCTGTGGCTCTGCACCCAGTCCTTTCTGTTCCCAGCTCTGGTCAGCAGGAAATCCCTGCTGGAGTGAGCCTCTTCTGGGCTGTGGCCAAGCCCATCCTGACACAGGGCTGCCCGGGTGCTGCTTCATTCCTGGGCTCAGCCTCAGGTCATGGGTCTGTTCCTGAGAGGCAGCTTCCTGATCAGGCTGCCAGACCTTCTGTGTTGCTGCTTTTCACACTGGAGGTAAATAGATTTATCTCCTTTGTATTGCAACTCAGAGCAAATAACGCTGGGTACAGCATGTGCCAAACAGGTAAATGCTAAGAAACACATCTCACTCAGGTCATGAGCTCTCCTTCCTAAGGTGTGCTGAGGTTCTGTAAGCCAGGGTGAGCAAGGCTGGGATTTGTACCAGCTTCAGGATACTTCAGAGGTATCCTCCAGCTCCTTATCCTGTCTGGTTAGAGTCTGGACTCATCATCAGTAAGTCACTGCAGCAGGAAAGCAGCAAACAGCATTGCCAGAGGTGTTTGAACAGAGCCTCGCGTGCTGCAGCCACTTTGAGCTCAATGATTTCTAAAGCTCTTCTGCACTCTGGAGGGAGTGTTCAGGAAATAACAGCACTGCTGAGGACTGGAGTTCTGCCTTGGCATCCAGCTTACCTCCTCTAGCCTCTCCCCATCACTGCTGGCAGGCAAAGCTGCTCATAGAGTTTCTCTATAATTGTGTCTATGGGGATCTGGCTGAGGAGGAAAACAGCAATTTTATGGACTTGAGAATGGAAAGAGACAGTTTTTTCCATGGCATTTGTAGGAAAACTTTCCTGAGCAACAGATTGGACAATTTATTACCATTTATTAGAAAGTCTCCCTGTTACTATCATGACTAATATTTTTATTAGATGGAAGTAGCTTCTACTAAGGAACTGTTTTGGAAAATAACTCCTTGTATTATTTTCCCTATTTGACTGAATCTGCTTTTTAAGCTGGACATTAAGGGATAACACAAAGTAAATTTAGTACTAATTAAACTTGGATTAAACTCAATCCTCTGCAAAACCTAAACCAAACAAATACTTCTGGGTTTGAATGTTTTCTGTTGTCTGTGACAGCTCTCTTTGCTTTCTCCCAGTGAGAGGGGATCAGGAATCTCTGCAGAACTGGGCTAACACATAATAACTGAGACATCAACAGAAGCTTTAAAGAAAAGAAAAACATTTGGATACTCTAGTCCATTGATTTTTGTGGATATGTTTTGTTTTCTGAGTGAAAAGCAAAGTTAGAGCTGATTGTGTACTTGAGGAATATTTTTCTAAACATGTCTCTGTATCCAAATCCACTGCCTTTCTGTAGGTATGAAAATGAACCAAGTGAGACAAAGGGGTGGGTCACTGGAAGGAAATCTTTACTTTTGCTCAGTGGAAAGGGACCCGCCCAGGGCAGGGGGTGACATGGTGAGGATGTTGTGACACATCTAGAGAAGCAGACTTCTGGTTCTGCTCTGAAGTCCCCACCTAATTTGTCTCTGCCCAGAATACTGGGTCAAACCCACGACCAAAAGATGAGGGCAAAAGCTATCTCTAGAGGGTTTTGGTTATCTCTCAAGAGGAGGTAATAACTGAAAATCATTTTCTCATATTTAGGTGCAACATTTGTCAGTCAAATTTTACTTTCAAGTGGAACATTTAAGTCCATGTTTCCGGGTGGAGCATGACTAAGCCACAGGTACTATTGCCAAGGAAATGGCTCCTTCAAGGAAATTCTCAATTCCACTGTTTACCCTGTGCCTTACTCAGAGGAGGATGTAAGAGCCATCCTGTGTGCCCCTTCCCTGACCCCTATAAAAAGGTGACAAAAGACTAATAGGTAAAATGAATATTTTGTCAGTCCTGTCTTATCAACAGCACTTTGGGGAAGTGAACTTCACACCAGTTCTGTTCATGGAGTTTGTGCTGGCATGAGCAGACTTGTGAGGAGCCAGCCTGCTCTCCCATGGCACGGACGTGGCCACAGCAGCTCCAGGAACTGCATTGCCAACATCTTCAATCTATTAGAGCTAAAGCATTACAAGACTGCTGAAGATCAGACATTAAATCTAGTTCTAGTGTGTTTTGTATGTATCTGCTGCTGTCCTTAGGGATTAAAACGATGTCCAGACACATCTATATATCCACCCAGGCACCTGGACTGGGCATTATCCAGTCACTGGATCTCTGTGCACTCATGTGGAGGCTGCTCTTCCACGTGTCATTACTGCAGACTGGGTTATTTGGTGTCCAAGCAGTCTGAATATAACTGGAGTTTGCTCAGGATCTGTGAAACCCCCCAGCTCTAGTTCCCCAGAGGAAGTTACCTGTGTGTCTTTGTGTATCTTTCTGCATCAAGATGCAAATGAACTTGTGTAGGCAGGCCAGATCACCGTGAGTCCCTCAGTCACCCCTGCAGGCCCCCTGAAAGGCAGCTGGACAGAAAACCACAACTGCCCTCCTAAAGGAGTTGTCCCTGCAAGGGCTGCCCTGGGGAACAGAAACTCCCCAGTTCCTGTCTGAGAATCACTTCTCAAACGGGACTGCTATTTCAGGGTGTAGGAATAGTCTCATGCTGATGAGAAAGAGGAAGGGGCTGTTATTTTTCTGAAGATATTTTTTGAAGCAGTACTGGTCTTTGAGAATGTAAAAAGCAAGTTGAAATCATCAGGGCAGAACTCCACTTGGTGAACAAAACACAAACAGGTGAGCAGAGGCTTTGCCCTTTTAATGCAGTGACTGAGACATACACACACTGTTATGCTGCTGCACCAATGTTCATCAGTTTCATTTTTGAGCATGACCTCAGTAGCAATAAAAATTATCTCACAGCCTTCACATAGCTCATGCTGATGAGAAACAGGAAGGGGCTGTTGTTTTTCTGAAGATATTTTGAAGCAGTACTGGTCTTTGAGAATGTAAAAAGCAAGTTGAAATCATCAGGGCAGAACTCCACTTGGTGAACAAAACACAAACAGGTGAGCAGAGGCTTTGCCCTTTTAATGCAGTGACTGAGACATACACACACTGTTATGCTGCTGCACCAATGTTCATCAGTTTCATTTTTGAGCATGACCTCAGTAGCAATAAAAATTATCTCACAGCCTTCACATACCTTTTCCACAGTTTCTGAGAATGAATCATCTTTCCAGAGCTGTTGCTGAACTCTAATCCCCACAGGAGCCACCACGTGCTGCCCCCCTTGTGTCCTTCCTTTGCTCTGGCCCCCATTCCTAATGAGACTGAGCATTTCAGGCTTCCTGGGATGGGGATCTCAAGGGAAGGACTGCCAGTGTGAGTTGTTTTGCATTCAGAAAGGCTTCTCTTGGCCTGGACTTTTCTGACAAGCAGGGCCCTTAGTTCTTACTCTACTGAGAATCAGCTTTATAATCAGCTGTCATAAACAAACATCAGCCCAGAGAAGGTGCATACGGCAGAGATCAGGAGATCTCGGGGAGCTGGAAGGCGTTTGCAGCATGAGATCCACACGTGGTGGGTCAGCATCCTCCTGTGGGCACGCAGGGGGTTGGAGCAGCTCCCCACAGCAGAGCTGACACTTGAGCCCCAACCATGGCGATCTGCTGGGATGCAGCAAGGAGTCCCCATCCACGGGGGCAGGGGGCACAACCCCCTCTGCAGACAGGCAGTTTTTTGGAAGGGCTGTCCCAAGGTACTGCTCCCAATGGCCATGGTGCTCCACACACACACACTGGAACAGCCCCAAAAGACCACAAGACCCAGGGTGGCCATGGTCCCTCACTTGGCCAGGATTTTGAGTAGCCAAGTTCCCAGGTCCCTGCAGGCTTTTCCAGCTGCTATCCAGCATGGGTTAAGCGGTGAATGGAGCCAGGAGCTTCAGCGCTCCTGGAAGAAAGCAAAGGCCTGTCTAACAAAGCCTCGCAGGGTCGACAGGCCCCAGGAGTGCTGGGCTTTTCCCTCAGCCCCAGAGTCCACAGAGTCCTGCCCTGCCCCAGCCTCTCCGGATGACTTACAGTTGTTGTTGGTGTTGTGAGAGTGCAGCTGGACCAAGTCCTCCTCCAAGGCCCCTGCCAGCTCCTTGAGGTCCCTGGAGGTGTCTGCTGGCAGGTACTGCCAAGCCTTGCGCCCGTTGTGATCCCTGCAGGTGGTGTCTGCCCCATAAGCTCCCACCAGCACCTTGATGAGCACCTCGTGTCCCTGCAAGGCAGCCAGGTGCAAAGGGGTGAGCCCGCCGCTGGCTGTGGGGATGTTCATGTTGACAGGGTAGCCTTTCTTCTGGGCATGGGAGATGACCTGGATGAAGCTCTCATGGTGGCCGTGCTTGGCAAGCCAGTGGAGAGCGGTGAAGCCTGTCACAAAGTCTCTCCTGGTCAGCAGGCTGGGATCCAGGTCCAGCAGCTTGATGATGCTGTCCGCATCACCCTCGGCCACCGTCAGCAGCCAGGCGTGCTCCAGGGGGTCGAGGACAAGCGGCAGCAGATCAGGGCTCTGCTCAGGCTTCTGCTCGTGGTGCAGCCCTGCAGGGAGACTGCTGCTGCTGGATGTCTTCTGGGCAGTGGCAAACCGCATGGTGCTGCCAGGGCTGTTGCTCTGCAGGAGGATTTCCTTCAGCTCCCTCCTCCGGGTACTGCTGGGGCTACCGGAGAACCTGCCCGACGTCCTGCCCCAGCTCCCCAGGCTGTGCCTGCCCCAGTTGATGCTTTTGTTGGCGTCCATCTTCTGCAGCGTGTGGAAGCGCTCCCTGCTGCCCAGGGTGGCAGGCCAGAGGTGGGAGCCGCGGGCCGGGCCGCCCGCTCGGGGCTGGGCGGCATCCAGGAAGGAGAAGGGCCGGGAGATGCCAGCCAGCTTCTGCTGCGCCTCGCTCCGCTCCCGCTCCCGCCGGGCCATGGCGCTGCCTGTCGCAGGGCTGTCCCCAGCAGGGCACAGCTCACGCTGCTGCGCTCACCGCGCTTCCCCTGCCGCCCCAGGCGAAGGAGGAACCGAGCCCGCCCGGCGGCAGGGCACGGCGGAACCGGGCGGCGCGGCTGACCTTTGGTCACGCTGTGGCCGTGGCTGCGGCGGGCTCTGCCCCGGCCGGCTCTGCGCTCCGAGCCGGCACACACACGGCGAGCGCGGCCGGGCCCGCGGAGCCCGCGGGAACACGGGGAGAGTGCGGGGATACAGGGAGGGTATGGGAATACAGGGAGAGTGCGGGGATACAGGGAATGTGTGGGAATACAGGGAGAGTGCGGGAATACAGGGAATGTGTGGGAATACAGGGAATGTGCAGGAATACAGGGAATGTGCGGGAATACAGGGAAAGCATGGGAATACAGGGAGTATGCGGGAATACAGTGAAAGTGTGGGAATGCAGGGAAAGTGTGGGAATACAGGGAATGTGCGGGAATACAGGGAAAGCGTGCAAACACGGTAAAAGTGTGGCGATCCAGGGAACATGCGGGAATACAGGGAGGGTGCAGAACGGCAGGACCAGACGCAGGCAGGGGGTCCCGAGCAGCTCGGTGCTGACGTGCTGACAGCAGTGCTGCACAGTGCTCCAGCAGAGATTGATGAACTGTATCCTCCCGCCTGAACAGCCTGGTTTGGCACTGCTGGCTCTGCTCAGCACCTGAAGTAGCCAAAGCCTTAAGGCCGTAAGAGCTGGCCAAACATAAACTGCTAACAAAGCACGCTTGGAATTCAGCAGATGCGAGCAGAATGGAGATGATAAGGGCCAAGGAGACTATCCCAGGGGAATAAAGTAACATCAGGAGGCAGCCAGCCCAGCTGCAGTGAAACCCAGCAAGAAATCAAGATATGCCAACCAGAACTGAGTGATTGACTTGGACGGGGGATGAGTGTCAGGGTGTAACTGAGAGGTGTGAACTGGGGTACGGGTTCCTCTCTGGAAGCACCAGCTTGAGCTGTAACCAAAGAACTAACAAAAGACTCACTGGAAACACTCACTTGAACCCAGCATCCTTGGCAGGGTCAGACCCTGTTACATTGTCTGGCGTGTGTAAATCCATGACTCTGGTCCCAGAACACTTCCTCTGATCCCAGCAGCACGCCAAGGCTGTGTCACTGAGCGATTGCCTTACAGCCCCCCTGGAACAGCCCCCAATGCTCCTCCTCGATGCTGTGCTCAGGAAGGCCCAGGTACTGCCCCAGGAGGCCACGTTCCAGTGGCTGGTGGGTTTCTCTGATGGAAGGGAAGCCCAGCCTGGGACACTGTTTGGCTCCTTGCCACTCAGTGTTGCATCCCACAGGGAATTTGGCCTTCCTCTCTTGCTGTGATCCCCTCTGTAGCACAGTCTATCTGTGGCGTTGCTGGCAGCTGCAGCCACCAGTAGTCTGTACCCTAATTTTGTTAGAAATCAGGACTAATTCTTCTGCCCCAAAAGCTCCCAGTCCTCTTTCTCTCCAGAAGTTTCTTATCCATGACTGCTCTGACACCCGTGGCTGAACTGTCACCAGGTGGTTTTGCAGCTGGTCAGGCAGCTAAAAGCCACAACAACCCCTTGAAGCCTTTTTCTTTGCCTTCCCTAAGCTTTAGCCCTGCTCTGACTTGCCCTGAGCTGGTTGTCAGCCTTGAGGGCCCTTGCCTTTTTCCAACCACTTGGACCAGTTTTTCTGGGATGTGTGGGGAGCTGGCATAATCTCAAACCCCAAACAACTGGTGGTGAAAGCATAATTGTCCCCTTGTTCCCTTTCTGGAGCTGCCTGATTTTGTCACTGGGTTTTGGTGGCTTCTGTGGGCTCAGGGAGGCAGAGAACTTGAACCACACAGCCATGAGATCCTGGTGAACACTTGGGTGGCATCTGGGCAAAACAAGAAAGGAAATAAGGAGCTGCTCTTGGGGAATGAAGGCATTAATGGTGCAAAGCAAGCCTCCCATTTAGGGCCACCGAGGTCATGCCTGCATTAGGGACTGGACACAGGTGAGCTCTGACCACAATAAAACCAGGGTGACAACCTTGGGGACTTCACCTACGAGTCCAGGGGCCAGGAAAGTTACTTTGGGGAAGGACTGAGTTTCCTCTGCCTCAGCCTCGTTTGGTGCTTGTGCTGCCATCGAACGAAGGGAAACCCAAGCGGCACCAGCTACAGCCTGGAAGCGGCGGCTGTGCGGGCAGCCGGGGGCAGCGGAGGTGCCGGCGGAGCACACCGGGCACAGCCGCCCTCAGCCGGGCGCCCGGGCGGGCCCGGACAGGGCAAGCCCAGGACATTCCGCCTGAAACAGCAGCTCATCTGCACAGCCCGGGGGACCTGCACGGACCCAGACCGTGAACCCAGCCCAGCCTCGGCGCTGCACGGCTCGGCCCCGGCCCGGCCCGTGTGACCTGACGGCAGGGGCCGCAGGGCACCGGGACGGGGCCCCCGGGGCCTCCCTGAGGAGCAGGCGGCGGGGAACCCCTCCCCGCGCTGGGAGCGGGCAGGGCCGAGGGGCCGCGTGCCGCGGAGGCGGCGGGACAGCCCGCGGGNNNCGGGCACGGCCGCGGCGGCGGGGCCGGTTCTGGGGGCGCCGGGCGGGCTGCGAGGACACCGGCCTGGGGCCTCCCGCGGGCTGCGAGACTCGGCTCGGAGCGGCGGCAGCCCCAGGACGGTCGGGCTTTGGGGGCCGACCCGAGGGGAGCTGGGCTTACCTGGGCTGGAGGATGTTGTGGTGGCCCCCGCTGCAGCCCGGCGCGGCGACCTTGGGCTGCCCGCCGGCCCGGCCGGAGCTGCCGCGCTGGGGAGGCCCGGCCGTGCATCCCTCACCTCGCTCTGGGGGCCCCGCGGCGGGCAGGGCACGGCTGTGGCATCCCTGCCTCCCCGGGGTGCTGCTCTCCTGCCCAGGAAAGCCTCAGCCCGTGTTCGTGGTGCGGAAAGGGAGCTCTCCAGTGTGGCACCGCCGTGGCAGCCAGACGCCAGCACCGTGTCCCCGCTGCGCTTTGTCCCCGGGGTCCCCGTAGTGCCACGGGCCACTGCCCGGCTCGCCCGCCTGCCTAGCGAGGCACAGGATCCCCGTGTGTCTGCGGAGAATTATCCAGAAGAGAGGCACAGGGAGTTGAGCCACCCCTGCGTTTGTCAGAGAAATGCGAAGGAGGCATCTGTACCGCGTTTGCATGTTGGAAAGGTTTTGTCTGTGGTTTGATGGGCTTCCAACTTTCATGTCCATGTGTTAATACAGAAGTATTACTTGAGGTGAATGCTTTCCAGTTTCATCTTCAAAGCAGTATGTTTTAGCATGGACCCAAGTCTTGCTGAACGGGTAGATGTAGCTGTTCCTTGCCAGTTTGTGATGTTATTTCCTCCTGGACATACCTATTGCCTTGTATGTGACTGCCAAAATACGTGAAGTGACTCAGTTGCTCCCCTGTCTTTTAAAAAAATTGAGTGTTATGCTTTCCTAAGATAATGTACAGGAGTTTGAGACATCTGCTTGTGGCCTGGAATGAATTTATGATACTGCACAGCCTCACTTTGGAGACAAGAGGGAAAGCTGGCTGTGAGACAGACTTGAAATTAGTGTGCTGCAAATTGAAAATGTCCTTTTACAAACAGGTAACTTGTCAGCCAAGGTCTTGGGCACGTGGTTTGTGGAGCAGTCAGCTGTGGTGTCCTGGGGGCGCAGAGGGCTCTGTGTGTGCCAGCAGGGTTGAAGGTGTGAGAGCTGGGGCTGGGTTTGGGGAGAAGCTGGGGTTACCACCCTGCCATCGTCCCAGAGAACCCTTGATCAAGGCCACACTTACTGCAGGGATAGTCGGTGCAAGCCCCTTCTCCCCAGCTGGGCAGGATGGCCTTGTCACCACCCAGCTGAGCCCCTTCTCCTGTGCTCTGCCAGCGGGGAGGATGGGGCACAGGAGCCTCTTGCCAGGCACTGCCCAGCTCTCCGTATCCAGCAGAGGTCAGAGACATTGAGACTGCTGGTAGTGATATGTATCTTCTAGCTGCTGACTTCCCTGGGAATGCATCCAAACTGCGTGGCGTCTCTGCAGCCTTTTGTCGGGGGCATAAAGAAGTGTAATCTTAAGAGCTGTCAGAGTTTGAGATTTCGGAAGCACTTGACTGTTTGTGAATGTTGAATGGCCGAGTGATGCTGCATGTCTGGAGAGGGTGGTTCATGGTCAGGACCTTTGGTGAGACACTTCTTGTTTTCTGTGGGGCCCAATTCAAAACTATTTCCCACCCACTTTCCTGATGTTTTTCTTTTATATTCTTGATGATCTTTTATCAGCTGAGCAAGGAAAAATAATAGAAAGTCTTTATCTAGACTTTACATTCCTAACTTGCATTTATCTTGTGGAGGGTGTTTATACTGTCTGCTGGATAATTCTTTCATTACATAGGAGAATTACATACTTGTACAAGTGAGAAATAATTGGTACAAGTGTTGCTCTAATTTGCTGTTTAATCAGAACCAAATGCAGTCTGGGGAAGTGAATGCCATAACTCCAAGGTCATGAGAAGGGATCTGATGTTGTTCTGGCTTAAAGATGATATGAAAAACTGTGGTGTGGAAACCCGAGTTCAGGTTCTGCCTTGCTTTGACTTTTTGTGCAGGAGTTTTCTCAGGTTTGGGGGTTGAGCCCCCAGGTTTCAGCATTGAGGGCAGCAGAGGGGCAGGAGGTGGCTGTGAGCACGGGCAGCAGTGATGGAGCTCTGTGAGCATTGTTTTATTTGGTTTCATTGCACGATGGTGCTGCTGTGTTGGTTGTGCCAGTTTGGAAATCTTTCTAAAGGAGTCTCCAAGGCATCAGGGTTTGAAGTGGGAAGAGGTGAGAAATTGTGTCAGAGGTACTGGGTGTCAGTTGTCAGTGTCCTGAACAGAAACACTCAGCTAGATGAAGTATTGTTCTGCAGCCTCTGAGAGCAGTTTTGTGCTGTGTGGGCCTCATTTGGACACTGGGTCCCTCGGGTTCAGAGCTGTAACATTCTCTATTTTCTTTGCTGTGCTCTGCCTGAATATCACCAAGGGGAGGCTTTGCCTTTGCCATGGAATCCTTTCTCATCATTCCTTTGGACCTGGGCACAGAGATGGTCCCGAATGTGCAGCATTGGCATTGCAGTGGGCAGCACCATTGTGTGTGCTCTGCTTTAGCTCCACAGAGGCAGCAGCCTCTCAGGGCTCTGGGGACTCAGCAGGTGACAGTTCTGTACCTGCTTGTCCTGCTAAGCAGATCAGGGCACACATGTGCATTCAGCAAGATTTTCCTCTAAGCGTATTTTCATCCGGGAATCTGGAGTGATTCAAACACCTGAAGACTAAATCTTGCCCCTTTTCTGTAAACTGATAGTTAATGGATGGTGCTTTCAGGCTTGGGGTCATTCATTATAACATCTTTGTATTTTCCATATGATTCGGATAGTTTTCTGTGAGAATTAGAGTAGGTGGTGGTGGGTTCTGTGGCGTGGAGAAGCCCTTACAAAAGGCTGTATCAATCCTTCTAAGAAAGGAAGAAGTAAAACAGCTTCTCCAAGTAGCTGCTCCCTACTCTCCTTACTTTCACTCTGCAATAGCCCTGCCTGATAATACAGCAAGAGAGTGTGTTGCTCTTTTTGTTCTTTTAATCTTGTTTGTGACAAACACACTCTACTTCCTCCCCAGCAACAACAGCCCAATCTGTCTAGGCAGGGGGCACTCTGTGTATGTGGGGAAAAAAGGCATCTGGTATCTTGGTCTGGTGCCAGTGTTCACACTGGCTTTCCAGAGATTCCATCTTTGTCTTCCTTCCAAGAAGATGTAACCTTAAAATAGAGAACACAAAGGCCTCTCAGCCATCCAGCACTCACTGATGCTCCTGGAAAAAGCCTTCATGCATACAGTAGTTAAACTTTGCTTACCTTGGTACCTCTTTATATGTTTGAAATTTGATCTGGTTTGGGAGATGAATGATGGAAGACAGTCTTGAACACCTTATCAGCAAAAAGCTTATAAGTTTAACATATTCTCCTTCAGTGTTGAACAAGGGGATCCAAACCTACATTTAATATACACCCAGGATGACTAATCAGTGTGTTCATATGTTGTTTATGGTGGTGCTGTTTATATATAGCAGTGCTCCGGTACAGAGACACCACTTGGTGCTTGAAGACTGGTGACTTGCACTGTCTCTTGGTGGATCCGACAGAAAATGTTTCTTTTCTCTCCACTGGTTTGGTAATTACTGTCAGCTTTCTGATGAGTGTCAAAACCAGGCTGATCCTAAAATTTCTTTCTTTATTTTTTTTTTCCCACTGCATCCAGTCTTTTGATGCCTTGGCCAAGGAGGCTGTAGATTTTTAGGCAGAGTAGCACAATATACCTTATGGCTGTGTACTTGACATGGAGACTTGTAGCTGCTGTGACTGGAAATCCCATTTTGCAGTAGTTGTTTCCTGGCCTGTACCAGATGTGAAGGGTGGTTTAGCTGCATTGTAAAACCACAGGTGACTAGAAAAAGAACCTACAGGAAATGACTTGCAGGCTGAATTCTGTGTGATGGTAAATGCCTCCTCTTAGCTGAGAGTGGCTTAACTTCTACCATTTATTTTGTTCCATCTGGATCACACTTATATTTAGGGATGAGGGGATGATTTGTTCTTAATGAGAGCCCACACTCCTGCCCACGCTTCCTGGGGAGAGTAGTGTTCAAGCAGTCTTCCAGTGGTGTGGTTTTAGGGCTGAGTATTAAAAATACACTTGATATTTCTCCTTCCCCAGGAGCCGTCTCGGGTTGTTCTCTTCTTGGGGTCCTCTGTGCCCCCTCTGTTCTTCACCAGGACCTGGCTGTCCCTGCAGATCCAACAGTGCCATGAGATTCCCCAGGGCTGGGTTTTGTTTTGGTGAATGCAGTTCAGGAGAGTTTGAGTATGTTGTCACAAAATCTGTGTGTCTAACACTCTCACTTTCTTCTGCTTTAGCTGGTTTTGCATTACAGGATCTCACAGCTGCATTGTCAGTAGGCAAAACCAGAATCTGCTGGGGAGCCTGAGTGCTTTCCTCATGAACATGTCATTAGGAGGGAAGGTGCTCAGGAATTAATGAAGCGCCATATTTGGTGAACATCTTGTCAAGAAGAGTCAGACTAATACACAAAATATGGCCAAGGGGAAACATATTTACACATCACAGGCTGGTAAATATGGTTAATGACTGAAGTGTATTTGGAACATCATATCTGAAAAAAACCAATCCAAACCCACAACAGCAAAACAGTAACAAGACAAGAAAACATACTGACAGGCTACTGTAGTAAATGTACTCCTTGGGGATGTTTTCCCAGCCTAAAATACCAGTGCCATTAGCAGAAGAGGTTAAACCAGTATTCCTGTCCCTATAAACAGGCTCTCGAGATATGTGAAAGCATGACTGTGAAAGAATAAATTCAAAATCACACCCTATAAACTACTGCCTTTTGGCTGTAGTATTATTTGCAAACTGATGGAAGGCTAGAGGGGAATTTTCTGATTTTCACACTAAAATACATTTTTTAAAAAAGCCTTTGCTTCAGAGAGGGAAATACCTTTTTGGGGCTGCAGGAGGACAGCTCTCCAGTACACACCAATACAGGGGTGCAGCACTGGCTCTTCATTTTGCCTGGTGCCATTTCTGAGGCTGAGCCTCTGTGTGTTGTGTTTTACTGTTGGCTGGGCAGGGTTGGGATCCAGGCTGCTTTGGCACAGACTGCCCAAGTGAAAATTTCTGACTCTCTCCCAAAGCCCGTGGCTGTTCTGGGCCTGGAGCACCACGTGTTCTGCTTGGCTGGGGAGACCAGATTAGTGGTGTTGAGCACAGGAGAGAGCAGGGTGCAGGAGCAGCTTCTCAGCAAGTCCTTTGGGTGGCTGGGCAGGAGCAGCCCTTGCCCCCAGCAGGAGGTTTGAGTAGCTCCACTCCCAAACCCTCTTTGCAGCCTCATTCAGGCCTGTGGGGTCATGAGCAGCTCAGTTCTGGGCACTCTTTCTCTGCTTTGCTTTCCTGTAGGTACAGTTTCCCTTACTGTTCCTAGCTAATTTCTATAATTGCAGCTATGAATGGGAATTACATGTGAGTTCCAATTCACATACAGTGAATGGTAATAGCCTTGTAGGAGGAGGTGTCACTAATACATTGCTTTGCACAGAGGATTCTTTTTGTTTTCACTATAAGGTGAGACTTGAGTTTCTGCATATTTTTTTTAAGAAACGAATGTGTTTCACCTCTTCATTTCACCAGCTGTGTTTGTGTACATGTTTTGCACATTTTGGTGTTATTTTCTCAGGGCTACCTTCAAATATTTGACAGATGAAATGTTGTATTTGTGCCTTCTGGAATTGTTTTAGAGAGGAGTGAAGCATGCTGACATGATTGATGGATCTGTGCAGACCTCTGCTTGGACTGTGCAGTTGGTTCCACTTGGGAGGTCTTAAGGGTTTATACAGAGAAGTGTATTTTGCTTGAAAGTGACACAAGTATTTCACTGTGTTTCAGGGTGAAGGCTGTCGTACTGTCCCGCTCTCCGGACACGTGGGATTTGATAGTTTGCCTGACCAGCTGGTTAATAAGTCAGTTAATCATGGGTTTTGTTTCAACATCCTGTGTGTGGGTGAGTATTTCCATTTTGGGAAGTTCTCTTGCTGAAAACTTTTCTGCAGCTGGATGTAGCTTGTAGCTTACAGCACTGACAAGGTAGCTTTGATTGAAATTTCCCCAACTGTTCTATTTTCAGTAACAAGATTTTCTGGTGCTCTGGGAAATCCCTACTGGGGTTCTGCAGTATGGCTTTCTACCAAGCAGCGAGATAAAATGCCTAAAATCACAGGCTGTTATTGTGATCTTTCTTTTCCTCATATGTTTGAATTTCACATTTTTAAAAGAAAATAGGTACTCATGCCAGAGTACTTTGTTATGAGGTCTTGTTTGGTTAAGTATTGAATTATTGTTATAATTATTATAATTATTTGAACAAAATACTAATAATGCTTCTCTTAAATCACTAAAAGCTATTTTTTTCTCCTCCCTTCTGTGCATACTTGAATTAAGATAGTGTCTGGCCAAGCCTTAACTCTTCTGACAATTATCCAAGCTGCCATGTGGTGTGGATCACAGCTGGGGCCTGGCACTGTAGCAGGACTTGGTGCCTGTCCCTGCAGCCCATCTCACAGGGTTAGGATCCCAAATAATCCCTTCTCTTAGGTCACAGAAATAAAACCCTGTATGGCTTTGGTACCATGGTTTAGGAAGGTTAACTAGGAAATGAAAAATGGAGAATTAGTAATTGATGGGTTTGCTGCTGCCAGTGCCCTGCCCTGGAGGTTGTATGGCCGTGGCTGCTCAGACTGAGCCCTGTCTGCAGAGATCCCAGCAGGGCCTGGTGTGGCAGGGGCAGAGCAGCAGCTCTGGACACCTCCTGGGGACTCAGCTGCTGGTCAGCCCTGCATCCACACAGAGGTGCAGCTCATGGTATGGGCCTGGTGTTTGCCCAGAACAGGGTTAAATCTGAAACAAGAGTAGTGGAGCAAGGAGAGGAGAGCTGAGCCCTGTTAAATGGAGCTGAGAAGACAGTTTTCCTTGCAGCCACCTCTTACATTCCTGTGAGATGATAAACTTTGCTGACAAGTGGAGGTCACTGTCAGGCTGAGTCTCTGGGTGATTTCCACAGTACATGAATGTGATATGACCTAAGGAAACTCCTGTCCCCAGGACTGAAGTCTGAAAGTGTTTCCTTTTCCACTTACTGGGCTGCAGTGTTCTTTTTACAAGTTCTAGGTGTAGCAGTGGGTGCCTCCTGTAGTTATATCTTCACTTTGATGTGTGGAGAGGAGCTGAATGCATGTGGTTTTTTCTTTGCAGGGCAGAAATTGAATGCATTAATCACTTGTTGAGGTAAATAACAAGGACTCACCAAGATCAATGTACATTAGTTACTTATGCCAGTTTTTTATTAATAGTGGTAACACAATCTTGAAATAAAGAAACTTTATAGAAAAATATAATAAACTTTATTAGAAAAAGATTTGCGAATCTTTGCCCCCACACTTAAACATCCTGGAGAAAGAAAACAAAAATTTCCAGTGTTCATCTGTCATTTATTCTGTTGGATTTCACTTGTACAGCAGAGTTTGGGATGAAAAGTTCAAAGAACAAGGAAGCAAATGAAGATTGGATGAGAATCCCATAGACAGCCCACTAAGCATGACAGAAAGAGACTTCTTTCCCCCCATTTTTCAGCTGTGTGTGGCATGTGTTGGAGGAAAAATCCAGTGATAATTCTACTCTGTGTCATACTGGATCTGAGCCACCGATTCCTGCAGCTCTTGCTGCAGAAGGCAAGGAAAGCTTCAGAAATGACTCTCAGCAGCATGTCCAGAGTGGAGCAGTTTTTAGCTCTTCTCATGCTGAAAGCTGTCTCCCCCGTGAGACTAGAGCCAAAGCTAGAATGAATGAGAAAACCTCTCATTAGATGTTAGGGCTTGCAGATGGTTTCTCTGATCTTTTATTTCTCAGCACAACCATTTTCTCCCTAAACCTTACAGGATAAATTTTTAGTTGCCTCTTAGTTCAGTGCAAAGGCTGGAGAAGTGTTTAATGGCTGAGACTTTCTGTGCTGACTGTATTTCTCAGTGAGATAGGGGAAAAAGAAGAGGAACAGGCTGCTGGTTTTTGATGTAAGCTTTCTCAGTTTTTGCCAGAGTAGATTGTAGTTGCATTAAACTAGCATCCAATTTAAGCAGGATTTTGCCCCTTCCTCTGTCCCAGGATTTGCAGGGAATTTGTTCCAACTGGCCTATTCAGTGCAATGAGAAGGGCTGTTTTGTGGCAGAAATATTTCTCTCTCCCCCGGGACTGTCCCAAGACTGTTTGAGGTCTGTCACTCCAAAGGAGTGAGCCTGTGCTGTGCAGGAGCTCTCACCCTGGGGGAGGGAGGGAGGGAAGGATGTGCACAGGATTCCTCTCCAGCAGGCAGCTCTGGGGTGATGAGCTGTACAGCCTGGAAGTTGCCCAGTGGTTGTTTCTGTGGTCACTGGTGCAAGCAGCTGGGGAGAGAACAGTTTCTCTAATCAAAAAGCCATCTGTCTCCTCAGCCTTCTCCTGCCCGGTGCCCGGGGGGGATGCCAGGGGCTGGGTGCCTCTCTGAGGAGGTGTTTCAGTGTGTTTTGTGAGCCCTTGTTGCCCTCCTTGCCCCTGCAGCCTTTGCATGGCTGTGGGGAATTGTGTGATGTCTCTGCATGCCTGTCAGATGAAACAAACTATTTTCCCTCTCTCCTTGAGAGATGGCCTTATCAGTCTGAGTTGCCTCAGGGCTTGTCTCAACAAACCTGCTACATTGGATTACCTCCTATTTCTACACATGAAAAGGCTGTGCATGCATCTACATTTTCTTTAAAATTGAATTATTTGATATCTGGAGCCATGGTTGTTAATCTTGTGAAGGGCAAGTGCTGCTCTCTCATGAAAGGAAGCTCTTGTGAAAGCTGCTCCCTCCCTTAAACAGGGAAATACTCCAAGGACTCCTCTGTCCTCCCAGAGTCGATTGATGATGATGTGATTGGGGCCTCTTAAAACCTGAGTGTTGTGGGAAAGGGAGACTGTGAGCAGTTGCTTGTTTCACTTAGCACATGCTAGGGAAAAGCAAATTAAATTTCCAGGCACAAAAGGAGGAAGTGCAGCTTTTGTGGTGCATAATTCAGCTCACTGCTGCAGCTGCTTGGGATGCTAGAAGCTCTGTGAGAAGAAGCCATGACAGTTCATTCAGCATGAAGGTGCCTGTCTTGATTTGGGAAGTTAAGAGCTTGTCCCAGCTGTAGTTTTGCAAGTGGTGCCACCACTGTTCCATCACTGTGAGATTTGGTGAGGCTTCCCCAGAGCAGTGCAGGTGCCATGTGCACATGCAGCTGGAGCAGGGAACAGGTCTCAGGAGGACGTGTGGGGAGCCCAGCACAGCCAGGCTGTTGGGCGTTAAGAGTGGGTGGTGCTTTCTGAGCTCTGATGTAGGGCTGCTGCATGTCCAGAACCTGCAGTGGTGGCTCTGGCCATTTTTTTTTTTAATGTCCTTGAAAATTGTCAGACTTAACAGCAAAACTCCATCCCACAATGAAAGGTACAACACTCAAGCTTTTCCACTCAAGCTGTCACATCTTCCTGGTGCAGAACTCTGCAGCAAAGGTCACTCTCTCTGCCCTGTCCCCCCCGCAGAGCTCTGTCAGCCCTGTTTTGGGGCAGCAGACCACTGAGTTGCATAATCCCTAAGTATGGTTTTGGAGATCAAATCACATGTGTCCATAAGCCTGACATCAGGAAATAATCCCCCTGCCAGGGATGCCTCTCACTCAGTTTGTGCACACTGCTGCTTTTTTCAAAGTAATTCTGCGTCTTTTAATCCCTGTTCATCATTTCTGGTTTTTGGGGAAGATTCCAGTGCCATTGGCTGCAACAAGCACGGACCACTTGTCCTTTTTATCAGACCATCTGTTCCATCTGGACTCCTGTCCTTACAAGAAGCAGTTGGCACCATTCACATCTTCCAGCCAGCAAAAAGTTGCCTCTGTGTGAGGCAGAAACTCCCAGAAGATTCAGAAATTCCTCCTTCTGTTGTTTTGGACTTTAAAATAGCAAGGCTATTTTGTGTTCCCTATCTCTGCTCATATGTAACACAGCAGAACACTTTATTAGTGACTTTAGTTTTTTACCATTTCATGTCACTCTGTCAGTGTTAACATTCTTTCAGCTGAGACACTCTTTCCTCTCTTCCTCTGTCTTCCCTGGCAGGCTTTAATTCTGTGTCAAGTCAGTGGGGTTACACACTGCAGGGACAGGGGTATCTGCTGGCTCAGTGTAAATTTGGGAGTCCAGGCTTCTTATGAGATGCCATGTTAGTGCCTGGATGTTTTAATCATGAAGGTGTTTGGATGGGCAACTCCCACCTGGGCAAAAAGCCACAGTTCTGATCTTCCCCTTCCAAAAGGAAAATCTCAGTGGTTGAATTCAGAGTTGCCTTGCTGGCCCTGTGTAGCTGGCATGAGGTGGAGTGTAAAAGCATGTTCTGCATCTCTTAAACACTTCCCCATGCCCCCTGACAGATAAAGTCACTCCTGCTGGAAAAAACCACTTGAGATGGATTTAAAGTAGGCAATGATTAACAGGTTCAGGATGTGCTTAAACAATAGTCTTGGCCTCATAGGAACATCTTCCACCCAAAAGGAGAGAGGCAGAAATGAGAGGTGACTTATAGGGTGATGTCTGCCCAGAAGCCAGTGTGGTTTACAGGTGACCTTGTGTGTGCACTGCAGAGAGCAGCTCCCTGGCCTGTCACTGCTGCTGCTGCCCTGTCACCCTGTCCTGTAGCCTTGGAGCTGCTCCAGGGCCTGCCTGGCTGTGGGGCAGTGCCACAGGAGCAGCCTTGCAGGGCTGTGTGTGGGTGATGCTCAGCACTGCAGGGCTGAGGGACTCCTCTGTCCTGAGATGTCCCATCAGGGTTCCTGGCATTCACAGGCAAGCAGCCAGCTCACTGCTCTGTCCCACCCGTCCCTTGGCAGGGGCTTTGGAAATGCTGCAGCCTTGTCAGGCTGTTTAGATTTTTGTCTGTTTTTACACTGCTGTTTTCCTGGAATCCCTGAGAACGGCCGGGGAGGTCATGCAGGCTGTTGGCTGTTAACTCCCAAAATCCCTGTCCAAACCGTGGCAGTGCTCTGGTCTGATTTGTGCACCTGCTCCCTTTTGGAGGCCAATGGCCCCTGACAAGTCCGGGCAATGAGATTCCAAGTCAATGTTGGGCCAGTTTATTCTCCCAGTGGCAGAGGTAACCTTGTGCTTTGCTGAGCCCCCCTCCCTTGCTCTGGCCAGTGCTGTTGTAGGTACAGCTGATGCAGTGAGGTGGCACAAGGGCTGCAGCCACACCAGCTCCTGCTGCTGACTCCTGCTCCCCTTTGGATTGAAAACCAGATGGGTACAAAGAGCAGCTGCACTGGTGGCTGTTCTGGCTGTAGTTGGTGTTGGGGATGGAGCACAAGCTCTCAGCTGGCTCCCAGGCAGTTCTGCAGCTCAAGGTGTGCATTGACTTTGAATTATTAATGGATCTTGCTGCCTCTGGAAAGATACTGGATATGTCATCTTGGCAGTCAGGGACTGCTCAGTTCCCAGAGCAGGGGATTTGGGGCTTGGAACTAGACAATCTTCCTTCCAAGCCAAACCATTCTATGGTTTTATGATTCTGTGTTTGCCTTGCTCTGCCATGTACTTCAGCCCTGAGTGTGGAAAATCCCTTTTGAGGCCAGAAGAGGAATTTGCCTGCTTGCCTCACAGGGGTGAGGCTTGGAGATTTGGAGATTTGGACGGGGGAGGATGGGGAGGAGTTTCCCCTTCTTGAATTGGGCATTTCATGCAAGTTTGGATCTGCTACAGAGCTCTAAACCTCCAAAAATAAGAAGCTCTTTTATTCTGAGCAAAGTGGGAAAATGGTGAAGTTGTTTTGGTTGGGAGCTGAGGGCTGGGAGAAGGAGGGAATGCTCTTGCAGCCAGACACAGTCTCCCTGTGCTCCCACTGCAGGCTGGACGAGCAGCCTTCACAGAGGGTGGGGTTCAGCTGCTCCTGAAGTTTCTCCAAAAGCCGTCTGGGCAGCTCAGAAATTGCTGTTTTCCCAAAACACAGCAGCCCTCACAAGGCAACAGACCAGACTGCGTAGGAAGTCAGGTCCTGTGAGCTGGGAGAGCTGGCTCTGCTGTCAGAGCCTGGTAAGGGAGGCTGCCCTGTGGAATGTGTGCACAGAGGGATTTGTTTTATTCTTCCTGGGATGTATCTAAAACAAATTCAAGACTGGTCTCTGGGATTTGTCTCTTCCTTCCAGACAAGGAAATAGTTGCCTGTTGATAAATGAAATCCAGATAGCAGTTCAACACTGATAGAATACTAGCAGAATACTGACAATACTAGCAGAATTTTTGGAAGCAGATTTTGCAATATTTTACAGCTTGTGTAGCCCCTAAGGTATGAAACCAGATATTAGAAGGCTGATTCTCCAACTTGTTGTGAGAAACCAACTGCAGAACTTGCTGTGGGATCCAACCAGCTCGCAGGGCTCCTGCATGGAAGGAAGCTATTTCTGTGGCTGCTTATTAGAGACATTGATCTGGAGCAGCTTTTTTTGGAAATGGCAGTGAGCCCCATTTCCTCTCCTGTTTTTTAATGAAAACAGCATCTTCTGTAGTGTAGTTGTGGGTTTAAGCAGGATCTGAACGATGCTTTCCCCTTCGCCTTTTCACCTCTTGCTTTTCATCTCTATTTTGTAATGACATTAATGGCCATTAGACTGTGAAATGTAATTTGCCCAGAATACAGACCTCCCATTGTTCATGGCTTTCTGTTTACCAGACGCTCCCTTGGGAGCATGAGATCTGCTTTCATCTGCTACAATTTCACCCCTGTTAATGTTTGGAAGCTCAAAGGCCAACCCATATTAATATTCAACAGAACATTTCAACTCTCTTTTTCTCCAATAGGGGAAACTGGCCTTGGTAAGTCCACCCTCATGGACACCCTTTTCAACACCAAGTTTGAAGGTGACCCAGCATCTCACTCACAGCCTGGGGTGCAGCTGAAATCCAGTACCTATGACCTGCAGGAGAGCAATGTCAACCTCAAGCTGACTATTGTGAGCACAGTGGGCTTTGGGGATCAGATCAACAAAGAGGACAGGTGAGCGAGGGAGAGAGGGGCTATATTGTGACCTGGCTTTTCATTCTCCCTGTGCCCTAGTTGGGCCTGACTGCACTGGAGTTTTCCTGCTTGCTTCTTAGGAGTTGTCCTTGTCACCTCTTTGGGATGGGACATGTAGAAGAGAGGACAAAGGCTCTGGAGTGTCAGCACTGCTTCAGCTATAAAGCAGCTTTTCTCATGCTGTCAGAGCAATTTCTGCCCTGCTGGCAAGCTTCTGCCCAAATGCATCTGGTGGGGAGACTGAAATGCTGCAGGGCATCTGGGCTTGTTTTGGTTTCTGCTGACCTCAAGCTGCTGACCAAACCACTAGTGTGGTTTCGTGTCTGCTTGGCTTAATATCCACTTTTGGCAGGGCTCTTCCATGGGAAGAGCCAAAGGAAGCACAATAAATGAGCAGTAAGATACCCTGGGGGAGTGTCTCTGGCAGCTCACATCCCAGAGTGGCTGGAGTGTGTTGGTTAAGGGATGTGCAGTTGCACCAGACAGTGTGCAAGGTGTTCTGCAAAGACATTGCTGATGGAATTGCTTTTTTTGTGGGTCTGTTAGATACTTTTTTAAGTTTGTTTAAAATGCACTGATGTCCTTTACATTACAGCTGTGGCAGGCTCTGCATTTCAGAAGGTCTTGCAAGGGAGTTGCAGGAATTTCCTACCTGAGAGCACTGGGCAAAGGTGGTACTGAATGAAGCTGTGTCTCCACCAGCAGCACTCAGGGCTGTGAGAGCAGCAAGCCATTCACTCCCTGAGTGCTGCAAATGAGTCTCCATTAGCCTTGCTTTAGAAGGTCTCTCACCCTTACATTTCAAAATATGAGAGTCTGCTTTCCCTGGAGAGGAGGGTGCATCTGCTGTCCTCTGCTAAATCCCAGTGCTGTGTTTTCACAAACAGGCTGCTAGAGTCTGATGTAGAACCACGTCTCCTTGTCAGCAGTGCTTTAAAATTTCTTACAGGTGGGGAGAAAGGGAGGTAGAGAGAATTGGTCTCAGAAAGTGGAAAATGGAAAGTGAAGTCTATCAACAGCTTCTTTCTTAAAAGCAAGCCAGGGGCATTGTCTATTTGTTGAGCTCTCTGACTGTGAGATGTATAACTTTTTTTTTTCCTTTCACCAAAGCTACAAGCCCATCGTTGAGTTCATTGATGCTCAGTTTGAAGCCTACTTGCAAGAAGAGCTGAAGATAAAAAGGGTCTTGCACAACTACCATGACACGCGGATCCACGCGTGCTTGTACTTCATCGCTCCCACCGGCCATTCCCTCAAATCCCTGGACTTGGTAACCATGAAGAAGCTCGACAGCAAGGTTGGCACTAGTAACTCTTACTGGGCAGATTTACTGTTTGCAGAGTGGAAAGGCTGCTGCTTTTCCAGAGGATCTCCCCACCTTGAATAGCCCTTCTGGTGGAAATAGCTGAGTTGGCAGATAATTCTGTAGATTTATTGAGCACTTACAAGTTTTTGAAGGTTGTATTGCAGACTTAGAGAAACTCCCAGGAGCGAAGTTGATTACTTCATACCTCTGTTTTTTTCTAGGTGAACATAATTCCCATCATTGCCAAATCTGATGCCATTTCCAAGAGCGAGCTGACCAAGTTTAAAATTAAAATCACAAGTGAACTGGTCAGTAATGGGGTGCAGATCTACCAGTTCCCAACAGACGACGAATCGGTGGCAGAGATAAATGGGACAATGAATGTAAGTGCCTTGGTTCTTCCTCCTCTCCCAGAACAGCACTGTCATTGTGGGGGTTGGTGGCTCATACTGGGATGTTTCTTACATCTATTTTCCCTTTGCTTTTGTTTCTTAAAACCAGAGGATTTCACAAGAGTCTCATCCTTGTAGTGTCATCCTTTGTGTTAGGCTGCTACCTCTCTGGTGGGCTTTTCTAGTCAGAAAACAGACTTTTAATACCCTCCTTGTCCTTGTGCATATCTTTTGAGGGACATGTAAGAAATGAGTGTTTAAACCCTTTTCAGCTCAAGGGTTTTTGATTGTTCCTGTCCTCTACATCACCTGATGGCCTCCCACCAGTAAACTTCCACTGGCAAGGAATTACACAGCTTAAACAGCAAGGTGTGAAAAACAGTGCACAACTTGGGCCAGACGTGCCTTGAGGTGCCTGCAGGTTCCCATTCTGGCCTCCCCAGCATCATGGGTGCCAGTCTGTGGCTCCCTGAGGATGAAACAAACTGTCCCTTGCCTTGCTGGCAGCACATCCTGACCATGGTCCCATTTTCCTGAAGGCTTTTCATAGGAAATCAAGTAGGGGAAGTTGATTGCTTTACTGCTGTGGATGTAGTAGAGGTCTAGCTGATGTGCATTTGTGCCACCTCTTGATTAAATATTAATAGTTGTAGAGTGTTCTGGAGAGGCCTGAAGGAAACATGAAGTTTGTCCTGACGTAGGAGATGTCAGTGATGGTTTCCTGGTCAGAGCAGTTCAGTGTTCTGAGGGTGGAAGTGAACCTCTGCTTGTCTTTCCTTTCAGCCATTTACTTGTCTCCTGGGAGGGAATTGCTGTCTTGGGTTGCAGACGTTCTGGGTTGTGTCACTTGCTGCACAGACAAATCAATTCTTTCATCCTCTATTACAGTCAGAATTACCAGGTTTATGGGGACTAAGCAGGCCAGAATTTGACCAAGGCAATTTTGCTGGTCTGGAAAACTTGTATCCAAATACTGATATTATTAGAAACGTAAGACAAATATTACTCTTTCTCTCTCTGTGTTGCATGTGAGAGCAGGGGGCTGAGGAATACAGGGGGCAGAGCCCATCTCTGTGAGTGCTTGCTGGCAGTTTTGTTTTGTTTGCAGTTTGACTGTATGAGCCACACTGAAAGCAAAAACATCATCTCTGAAATCTTTTGGTTGTACCAGCTGTCATGAACTTGTCCAAATTTTTGGATAACCTGTGGAATTCACTTCCTGCTCCTGAGAGCAATCCAGGGTCACTGATCTTCCATGGAGTTGGCTTCCTGAGGTCCTTTCAATTGCCCAGAATTTGGTGCACTTTAAAAGCTCTGCCTAACAAATGTTACTTCACAAAACTCAGCAGAAAGGGTTGGTGCAAGGAGCTGGGAACTCAAAAGTGCTGAAGCTTTGCACTTGACTTCCTTGCAGCCTGGCAGAATGCAGTGTAGCTCCCAGGAGCAAGGGAGGTGGGGAGAAATCTCACTCACAGAAAATGCAGCAAAGTACCATGGCAGTGTCTGGGGGGTTTGCTTGGCTGCCTGCCTTTTGGAAATGAGAGGACTGTAAGGTGAGATCTTGAGAGTCTAGGTAGGTGTTGGGAGGCTTTCAGTTCCAATTTTGCTGAACATGCACTGGGCAAGTCTCTTTTTACCCTCTGCAGAGATCATCTTTATTAAGAAGTTACTGTTTCTGATTTCTGAGTTTTTGCAAAGCAAATCCCTCTTCTTCTTAGTCAGCCTTTGTGTAATGTGGAGTGCATATCTCAGCTTGAAGCGTGTGACCTGGTCACACCAGACACAGTGGCTGGGGACATGTTCAGCCCTTCCTCACCAGGGCAGAAGCAAGCAGGGAGGAGCTGTTACTCCAGGAGTGAAGGATGGACTTCCATCTCATGACCTGGTGGAGCAGGGTCTCTTATGCTCCAGCATGAGCTGAAGGAGTGGTGGGGGGATAAAATCAGGAAGGCTCCAAGACCTCTTACTGCTTCTGTGCTTGTGCAGATGTTCTCCTCAGGCACGGCAAGCCCTGGGACAGCACCGCAGCCCGAGCCGCAGCCCTCTGTTCCTGCTGGCACTCTGATGCCAGTCTTGCACTGGCTCATCTCACCTGAGACTCTGTGGCTGGGAGGATCAGCCAGGTAGAGGATATAGAGTGGTAGCACTAACAAGGTTTCCAAAAAAGGACCCACCCTGCTACCCCTTGTCTTGGACTAGTGGCCAGTGACTAGACTCCCTGAGATTAGCATGTGCATAATGACTGTCTTGCTCAGTGGCTGTGCTCATCTCTGTGTGCTGGTGGGTCAGCCAGGTCTGAGGGACTAACGTGGATGTCATCAAATGTGTTCCAGGCCCACTTGCCATTTGCAGTGATCGGGAGCACGGAGGAGCTGAAAATAGGAAACAAAATGATGAAAGCTCGTCAGTACCCTTGGGGCACAGTGCAGGGTGAGTTGAGCCCTGGGATTTTCATGGCATGAATGGTGACACTTGTGCAAGGAGGCAGTGGGATTTCATAGAAAGAGCAAGGAGGCCTGCTGGACGTGATTATCTGGGGAATTATCCTTTGTTAAATCCTTGTGTCAGGCCTATAGTGCCAGTTTGCTCTGCTTGGAAGGGCTGTTAAACCTGTTGGAAGAGTAGACAGTTGAGGAAAGTGGGAAGAGATGTTAGTTTCTGTCCTCATTTTCCTCCTCGCCGTGCCTTCTTCCAGTGGAGAACGAAGCTCACTGTGACTTTGTGAAGCTGCGGGAGATGCTGATCCGCGTGAACATGGAGGACCTGCGTGAGCAGACCCACACACGCCACTATGAGCTCTACAGGCGGTGTAAACTGGAAGAGATGGGTTTCAAGGACACTGATCCAGACAGCAAACCCTTCAGGTGAGATCCCTGGAGGAGACAGGAGGGCTCGAGAGAGGCGCTGGTGGATGTGCTGTGTGCCTCTGTGTGTGTGTGTGTGTCCTCGGGGGAGCACGGGAAAAGCCAATGCAGCAAGAAAAACTGCCAGGTCAGATAAATCCAGACTTCAGCTAAGGTCTGACTGGGAGAAGGTGCAAATACAGGGAGGATCTGCAGGACTGACTGTGAATCTGCAAGTATGGGAGTAGAAATGTGCTGCAGAAACACAGTGATGCCTATTTTGAGCTTACCTAGAAACAGAGGCCAGACAAAGTTAAAAGGATAAAAGTGGATATTTTTAATGAAGGGCCTCCAGGTACATTAAGGGCAGATGAAACCTCCCCAAGGGGCTACACCCAAAATGGACAATGGTCATGAGTTTTTCAGCCAGATATAAGTTTGGTCTATTTACATATCAGGCATTAATCCTCCAATTACAGCTTCAGGTAATGAAGTCATTACATTAAGTTTGCTCCCCCCAATTCACTTTTGTTTATGCATTTTGAGGCTTGAGGCTGTAGGGTGTCCTTGGATCTCAGACCCAGAAGGATTGTTTTGTCTGACCAAAATGTGAAGACAGTTAATTAGCACTTTTTATGGAGTTTAGAATTATGCACTAATGCAGTACAGGATTAAAAAAAACATAAAGACTGAAATCTTAAGGCATCGACAGCAGCGTTCCTCTAAACCAGTGTTTGTTGCCAGCTGGTCTCTTTGAATTGCCCAATGTTCAACATACAGAGAAGTGCCAAAAATCATTGAATAAAGAAGACCTTGGGCACATGTGGGTGAGTGAGTAGCAAATGTGTGCAAAGCATAGTCATGGTGAGGGCCTGATTTCAGAGGGTCAGGGTAAGCAGTTTGTCCCAAGTCTTATCACTGGGCTTTCCTTCCTTTTCAGCTTACAAGAAACTTATGAAGCCAAAAGAAACGAGTTTCTGGGAGAGCTGCAGAAAAAGGAAGAGGCAATGAGACAGATGTTTGTCCAGAGGGTCAAGGAAAAAGAAGCTGAGTTGAAGGAGGCTGAAAAAGAGGTAAAAACTGCAGTACTTGTGTCTTCATGGCTGTGAGTGATAGATTCACTCCCAAGAGGTAGTTGTTGCCAAAGCACTTTCTTACCAAGAAATCTAAGGTTTAACTTGGATGGAGATGTTAAGGTGTTCAGTCTGTAGGGCAAAACTGAATCACAGTGCTTGTTCTGTACAACTTACTGCACCAGGAAAGGACCAGAGTCTTGATTCTGATGGAGAGGTGCAGTGTGGTAAAAGTCAAGGAGAGAAACAGCCCTTGAGATTAACTTGTTTTACAAAAAATACACTCATACAACTTTCTTAGCAATGTGAAAAATCCGTTAATTTACTGACTTTTAAAGAGGAATAAGGCAGAAACCCCTGAAGATGGATTAGGGTTTTTTTACACTTATGCTCTCCCAATCCTCTGTTCATAGTCTGCACAATGATGCATTACTAGAACACTGCCTGTAAGTTGTTGTGGAGGGAGGCTGCTCCCTGCCCTTTGCCTGTTGTGCTGTGTCCTGCTCACCTCTTTCCTTTCCTTTTAGCTGCATGAAAAGTTTGATCGCCTGAAGAAATTGCATCAGGATGAAAAGAAGAAGCTGGAGGATAAGAAGAAGTCTCTGGATGATGAAGTAAATGCATTTAAACAAAGGAAGACAGCAGCTGAATTGCTTCAGTCACAGGCTCAGCAGGCTGGAGGGTCGCAAACTCTTAAAAGGGATAAGGAAAGGAAAAAGTAAGTTGCTAACCCAGAGGTATTTGATTTTGTTAATGGTTTTCCTTTACTGTTTTTCTGGCTGTTCATATCTCCCTCCAGCATAGCCAGTCCTTATCAGGGAGGGTTTGCAGCCAGATTTAAACCCTAGTAAGGCTGAGCAGTATCTGGAAGCATGTAACATTTGCTGTCATCCTGAAGAGCAGGGAGCAGTACTAACCTCCCTCTTTGCTTTCTGACAGCATGGGAGAGGATGAACTTGGTTTTATTCCCCAAGATTCCCTGCTCCTCCCTTGGTCTCTCAGTGCTTGTAAAGTGGAACCATACTAGCTGCCAAGGCTAGGGTGTGGGTAGCAGGGATGTCACATTACCCTCAGAGAGGAGTGTGTTTTAGCTCAGGTTCTTACTTTTTTATCTTGAGAAAATTGTGGAAATTATTCAGGCAGACTAACAGTCTTGAATTCTGGAATCTGCAGGATGTAAGATGGCAAAATGAGGGGACAGGTCATAGCACCTTGTTAGCACTAGTACTCCTGTCCTAAATCAGCTTTCTGCCCTCCACAGGAACAGTGGGAGATACTGCATGGCTGTAGCAGGGCTTCCCAGTGCCAGGGACTGGTGTGACAGGATCCAGCCCTCATCAGGGTCTGGGACCTGGGCTGTCTGCAGTGCCTGTGCTAGGCTCCTGCAGCTCTGCAGCTGCTCAAGAGCAGCCTGTGAAACAGCTCTCCCACCCTTCCTTCTCACTGTGGCGCATTTCCCAGAAGGAGCCCTGTGCCACCTGTGCAGGTGTGCAGACAAACAGGGGTCTGGTTTTGTACCAGTGCCATAATCCCCCCTCTGCACAGCCCTGGGGCAGTCCTTGCCTGCACTGTGCAGTCCTGAGTACATGAAGAAGTGCTGTTAGATTGGACAGTATTGGGCAAGCCCAAAGTGCTGACAGCACTGTTTGTCAGGGAATAAACCTGTGATTGTTAAGCTTGGGATTAAATGAGACAGAGGAGGAAAGACCCAATTACAGGAATGAGATCCTGGTTTAGTCTTTTAGTTTAAAGCTGAAGCTGCTTCAACATGAACAGTCTTTTGTGATGAACAATTAGTGCTGCACTTTCCCATTCCTTTTACCACTGCCTATTTTGATTTGTTCATTTGAATCACCTTCAGGGGGTTTTAATATCTTTTCATACTGAGGGGTCTGAGACTGACTGGGGACAGACTTCTTTCTCCAGGCTGGACTGTGTGAGGAATACCCAGCTGAGTTCTTTCATGCTTAGAGCCCTTACACATCTGCTCACTCAAGACTTCAGCCTTGAGATCAGTCAGGGTCAGGAATGCAGAAAAGAGAGGCAACAGCCTTATAGTATCAGCAATTAGTTGCTGTGGCCCAAGTCAAACTCTTGATCCTTGAAGTTGTTCTCATCTCAACATCTCCTTGACACCAAGCATGTTGATATGGAAAAGCTTTGGTACTTTCATGGAGGGTACTTTCAGTTAAGGGCACAGAAAACTCCATGACAGAGATAGGTCAGTGCTTCAGTAAGGCTTGGGGAGATAATAGGAAGTTTCTTTCACCTACTTTCTTTGCTATGTAGCTGCTCTGATTGTCCTTAATAATGGATTTTAGTACTTGGATCATAATTTTTTCTTAACAATCCATGAATTTTGCAAGCTGGAGCTTAATTGTAGCTTGTTTACTACTGCCTGGCAGTACAATAACCTTTTTCTTTCACAGGTGACTTGTTTAAACCCAAGCTCTGTAATTTGCACTAATCATGACTCAGTTGATTTTTCTGTTGTTGTTGTTACATCATTATCATCATTATCAGGCCTTACATGTGTGCTGTTTTACAGTTAGCTGCTGTTTGGCTGCATGGTGCATGAGGCACATTGTCCTGGTAAGCGTCATTAACTAATAGAGCCTCACAGTGGGATCAGGTACCTTTCCTAAAAAAGCAGAGCGTGTGCAAGTCCTGAAGCTTATAAGTATTATCTCTGTCTTCCCCTGCTTTCACCCCACTATATGTGCTCTGCCAGTCACTCTCTACATGTGCAATTGTAGAAAAATTATGTAATTATCTTTAAAGATTCTGCAAAGTTGAATTCAGAGACTCAGGATATGGGACATAGAAAATTAAGGATTACATCCTCTTCCTTTTAAATCTTCCCAGCACTTTATTGGCTCTGTTCTCTTTATTCCATCTCTCATAAAAATAAATTATATTCTTTAATCACACAGGCCACGTTGACACTATGGCAACAATTGCTATGGAGATGTGGTGCTGATGATACAGCCCAGCTAGCCATGAAAATGTCTCTGTCTTTCCTTTCTCCTCCTTCCCTCCCACTCCTCCAAGCTGTAATGTTAACTCGTGGTTACAGTGAAGGTAGATGCAAGACTAGTTTCTGTCATCCTCATTAGGGTTATTAGTTAAACTGCTAATGACAGTGGTCTACTTACAGCTAGGTTGAGTGGGTTTAATTGAGCATTTTTAATTTGCTGATGATTCTCTAGTGAGAGGAAGAGGAAACCTCCCACGGGAATGTCTTGCTTCTTGACAGAGCAGTGATACTCATCATCCAAGACAGAGCCCCAGGGGCTGAGGTGCACAGGCCTCTCAGAGAAGGGACCCTGTTGGAAATAAACTATAAAACACCCTAAAAACTCATCCTTGAGTCCACCCTTCCCTGCAGACAAAGCTAACACTTACATTCTCTCCTGGACAGTCTAAAGTAAATTACAGTCAACCCTTAAACTGGTAGAAGCTGATTCCAAGATTCCTTCCCTCTTAACTCCACCAAGGGAAATGGCAAAGCAAGTAAACATTGTGCTGCCAGTGAGAGGCCTTGGAATGTAATTTAAACAGGACCTTCCACTCAACAGAAGAGCTTCAGAAGGGTCTTGCACTGGCTCCAACTGGCGCTTGCAGTCGTCTTGAGCTGTCCAGTTGAGTGAATGTCTCTGCTGCCAACAGTAACTGTACAACAATGGAAAGAACAATTCTCTGCTTATCAGGCTCTGAATGTGGAAAAATAAGCTGAAAGAATAACAGTGTTCATTCTGGTGCTGAGTACGAAGGCACAGCTAAAGTGCAGCTAGAGTGAACATTACTGATTTTTGTTGGTTTTGGATTGCTTTTGGCAGTCCTCATAACTGTACACTATTGTGTGCAGGGCTTTGAATCAAATGAAGTCCTTTGTTCCCACTATGCAAGTGCAGACAGTGCCTTTTTCAATGGGCATTTGTCATTGCTAAATTAAATATGTATATGTGGTACTTTTCCAGGATTTAGAAAAACAGTCTCCATATTGATCCATAAAGTGTTGCAGGGCTTCACTGTTTTGCAAGGATACAAACAAGTCACAGTTGATGAGTCCTGTAGCTTGCAAAACTGTGAAGGGATTGTTTTAGAAAATGAATTTGGTTCATCCCACTGCTGAGTGTGTGTGTGTATGCGTGCATAAAGCATGTTTTGTAGTCAGATTAAACCTTATTAACACTTAGCAACATTTTCTTTTTTGTGTGTGTGTGCCCATTAGAAAAACTTGTATTTTTATTTTGTTTTTTTGTCATTAATCCATAAAACCATTAACCTGCCTTTTTCTTTCATTTTCAGTTCGGGTTTCCTGTAGAACCTTTCCCTTGGCCCCAGAGGCGAATGCCCCACCCTCGGCTGTGCCATTGTGCCTGTTGCTCACCTTTCCCACTGCTCCCCTCCCGTGCTCCACTCGGGCTCAAACCAGAGCTCCTGGCTGCTGGGGTTGCTCTTGTGAGGGACGCTGCTGGCCAGGGGGGTTTGTGCCAGGCTCCTCCTGCCCCTAGGGCAGCAGCAGGATGCCCACTGCTCCTGGGCCAGGGTTCCCTGTCCCACTGCTCAGCTTTCCCTGCTGCCAGAGCTGCTTGGGGGTGCATTTAGCTCCTGCTCCGGGGTGGGTTTGCTCTCTCCAGAGCCTGGCTGCCCTCTCCCCATGTTAATTTGCTGTTCCTAAGCCCTCATTACCCCCTGTGCTGCCATGTGTGACTCAAATAACTTTCAAGGACTTTTTGCAAAACTTGACATCCTCACAGGCATGGCCTGAGCCCAAACCTCTAGTTCCCAGGCTTGAGGAAATCTCACATTTGGATCCATGGTTTGCAACTAAGTGTTCTCTGAATGCTGCAGGGGTCATGAAGGATCTTTTGCCTGGTCTCCCTCTCAGTGTGCTGACCTGGATGCACATCCTGGATCCAATCTCAGGGAAAGCTGGTCACCTTGCTGTACATATCAGTGTTTCTGAAGAAAGACTATGCTGTTTCATTGACTTTCTTCTCAGTGATTCCAACAATTTTTGGTTTTAATGCAAAAAAAATATTACCTTTTATATTTTTTTTATCTGACATCTCTTTAGAATTGTACAGATGTTGACAGGTTTCTTCTCATATTTTCTATTCAGCAAAAGCCTTGTTTTTATTGCAAGATTTGCACTAAAAAGGAGGGTGTTTTGCTCACTGGGCCAGGAGCTCACTCTGGCCAAGTGCAACTGTGGTTTGCCTGCAAGTGTCTGTGTATTTCTGGCTGAGTTTTGTTTTTAAATAAAGAGTTCATCGGACAGTGAATTCTGGTTAACATTTACTTCTTTTGTTTTTTGTTTTTTTTGCCCTTCTTTTTCAGTAACCCATGGCTCTGTACTGAGTAATTACCCCTGAATACAAGGCCTGGAATGGACCTTCATTTACTTGTTAAATCGGAGGGTCTAATAAAACATGACAGCATTTCAGCTGTGACCTTTCCAGGGTGTTATCCTTGCTCTCTCCTGTGCTCTCATTGTGATTCTGTTTTTACTGTGTACTGGTGGTTATTGCTTTTATTAAACAATGTAAAATTAGTCATAACAAGGTTCTTGATGCTACAACTTCAAATCCTGCCATTTTTTTCCCCCCTACAATTAATGGATTCCCCTTTTTCCTGGTCTCGTTCCACCCAGCTAAATAAGGGATATGGAAATAAGTTCTGTGAGTTATTTTTGCTGGCGAAATAACAGCACAGTTTAAATATATTTATTGATGACATTAAAATGACAACACCATCTTAGTTTAATAATCACGTAGTTCAGAGATAAAACACGCTTTTCTCATTCTCTTTGTTGTCATTTTCATGACATCACCTGTCTTTTTTCATTTGCTTTTTTTCCTTTTGCTGATTCATGCTATCTGAAGACCAGCATGTAAATCCTGGTTTCCATTTCAGATCTGTGTGTGCTGTGGGCGGGCTCAGGGCTCTGTGTGTGCTGAACCCACACGTCCTGCCCCTCTGAATCAGCCCCAGAGACCCCAGGCCTTTCAGGAGAGGAGCACACTCAGGCTAGCTGGAGCTGATGCTACAGTGCCAGCTGCTGCTGGGCTCACCTGGGCAGTGCCCTGCGTGGTGCCAGGGCTCAGCAGCAGTTCCAGCCCAGGGCCAGCCTGGCTCCTGCTCACAGCAGCAGCCCCAGCTCACACCACGGTGCCTCCGTTCCCAGCAGTCAGGGCAGCCCACACTCTTGGTTGTAATGTATTTTCTCAGGTATTCTGTTTCAGCATAAATACCATTTCATTTCCACAGAGCTCTTTGATTGCATTGTGATTTGTTTAGCAAGTTGAAATAATTTGAATATTTTCTTCTTCCTCTACTTTTGAATGTTTCCCTGCTCCTAAAACCAGTCAGTGTTAATCTGTCGGTGATTTCTAGATTAACTGCTAAAAGGACAATTGAATGTGACATTTTTTACCACACTGCCTGTTCTTCCTGACCATTTGCCTTATTAGAATGTTATTTAAAGTTATGTGAAATCTTTTTAAAGACTTTAAAGAAAGAAAGGTTTTTATTTGCACCATTTCCCTGAAGTACTTGAGGTACCACAAGGAGGTTCCATCTCTCCTCTGTCAGCTGTTTCCATGTTGCATCTCTTTTTCTTGCTTTTTGAATGTCTTTCTCTTTTTTTGCTAATCTTCTGTTTTTTCTCTTTTTTCCCCTTTTCTCTCTCTGTAGCTTTTTTTAATCTGTCTTCGCCAGCTGCACTGTGTCTGAGGGAGAAGACTGCCACTTCTAGAAGAGTCTAAGGGTCTTATGTCTGGGGAGGGGGGAACAAATCTTCAGTGTTAGTGTCTTGGAAAGAAGCTCTTTTACTGACTTGCATGATACTTAAAATTGAAGTGTCTTGTAATTTGTGTGACAAGACAGGGCGATGAGGGGGGAACTGATGACCTGGAATTTTGAAGAGCTACAGAAATGTGGTATTGGGACTAATGATGTAGCGAATACATTTTCAAACGTTGTTATGGGCATATGTTTTTTCTAATGTTGTCTTTAATAATGTAAATGTCATGGGCTTCCCTGAGGTGTGAAGCCTAAGGAATATTTTCAATATGCTGGTGGTTTGATTGGTTTTGGAAACCTTGCATTCAGAGTCAAAGGAAATACAAACATGGTGCAACTTGCTCTGTTGGCAGCCACGAAATATTTAATTTTATCAAAGAAATAAAGTAAGAACTGTGTGTTCTGACCGGTGTCCTCCTGTGTCTCACCATCCTGTTAGAGAGCCCGGTGCCGCTTTCTCCTTGCGAACCCGCCTGCTCTTGTGTACAGCTCGGGCAGCCGGCAGCGCCGGGCCGGGCGGAGCGGGGCCGGGCTCTGGCAGCGGCTGCGGTGTCCCGGCGGTGCCGGAGCCCCCGAGCCCTGCAGCTCCCCGGGCCCGTCCCGCTGCCCGGCCCGTGCCGCTGGCTCTGCCCACGCGGGGGGCGCGGGAGCGGCTGAGGGGCCCGGCTGCTCGCCTCTCACCTTTCTAACTGTCATGTACATTTAAATAAAAAACGCGAAAGCCAGCGCGGCTCTGTGCTGTGTGTGCTCTGTGCTGTGTGTGCTCTGTGTGTGTGCTGTGTGTGTGTGTGTGTGTGTGTGTGTGCGCTCTGTGTGTGCCCTGTGTGTGTGCTCTCTGTGTGTGCTCTGTGCCCTGTGTGTGTGCTCTGTGTGTTGCTCTGTGTGTGTGTGCTCTGTGTGTGCTGTGTGTGTGTGCTCTGTGCTGTGTGTGCTCTGTGCTCTGTGCTGTGTGTGTGTGTGCTGCTCGCCGGGCCCGGCGCTCGTCCGGCCCCGCGGCCCGTGCCCGCCATGCCGGCAGAGCCGCGGCCGGAGGCGGCGGCCGAGCCGGAGCTGGAGCAGTGGCGGCAGTACAACGAGACCGAGCGGCAATGGGCGCTGCGCCGCCGCTTCATCCTCCGCCACCTCCCCGCGTACCCCGGCGGCGCCATCGACCAGCTGCTGGCGCTCTCCGTGCTCTGGACCAACCACGTCTTCATGGGCTGCAGGTGAGGCTGGCGGCCCCGGGCGGGGGTCGGGGCTCAGCGGGACGGGAGCCCGCGGGGAGAGGCGGCGCAGGCTCCCGAAGGCAAATCCCGGCTCCAGGTGCGCGTTGGGAGGCAGCCGCGGAAGGGATGAGAGGGGCTGGGGGAGAGAACCACTGCCCCTGGCCAGTTCTGATTCCTCGAGTGTGCCGCTGTTTGTACGCGGAGGGGAGCGAGGCACCGCAGAAGTTTATGTGTTTTGCGAGGAGTTCTTGGTGTCCCGCCCCCAGGACTCGCTGAGCTTGTGGTGCTGTGTCATTTAAATGAGGAGAGAGCTTCCCTGAGCACACAGCAGCCCGTGCCGTCCCCTGAAGGCTCTGCTTTTCTGGGAGGAGTAACCGTGGAGAGGAAGGGGAATCCTTTCCTGCAGCCCTGCCGGCTTGTGGAGCTGTGCAGAAAGGTCACCACGTTCCACAGGCGCCTTCAGTGATGAGATTGTTTTTAACTGCACGGAAGCAGTTGCTTAACGAGCAACTTCTGCAAACCGTGGCACACAGATGGACTTTTAATAATGTTCCATCCCGCAGCCTCTGTGTCATCCCCACAGAGCAAAATCAATATCTTTAAATACACATCTGCCTGTTCCCTTTTTTTCCCCCCCCGGGTCACATACTAAGCTGTTCTGCCCTGCAAGCACTAAAATTTAGCATAGATTTTAGACAGTTTCAAATTCCAAAGCTTGAGCAATATGTTAAAATTGAGAATATACATATATTATTCATATAGAGTCTGTGTGGTCCATGTTAATGTGCTTGTGTGCTGTCTTGATGGGACCTTCCCTGTGCCAGGGCTTTGGGAGTGATGCAGTTAACAGCTACAGGTGCTGCTGATAGAACTGCACGGCTGTGTGGGGAGGTTTCAAATCCCAAAAACCGGTGCAGTTTAAACCTGTCGGTGCAGATACTTTCTGTGATGGACTCCTTCACCTGCAGCTCTCGGGGGGAGCAGATTTGGGCAGGGTGCAGTCTGGAGCCATTGGCACTGAAGGTGTTTCCCAGAGCTGCTGTGCCTGGCTGGGAGCACTGCATGGGAGCATTCTGTGCTGCTAAAACAATTCTAGCTTTGCTCACAGTGGCCTGGGGAAGGAAGGGACCTGCAGCATTCCCTGGAACTGCCTGTGGTGTTTGGGAAGAGCTGTTGTTGATTTATCAAGCAAATAGCTTCAAAGTTGGAGGGATTTTTGTTGTTTTCCCTGAAGTTTTGTTTTGTTTTGTTTTCCTGATGCTGATTTCTTGCCAGCTGGAGGCAGCCTGTCTGTTGGACAGCTCAGCTGGTTGCAGCAGGGTGCTGGCAGTGGCAGGGATGTGGGTTCAGTCCCATGTGAGCCCTTCACCCAAGACTTGGGCTCCATGATCCTTGTGGGGCCCTTCCAGCTCACACTGTTCTGTGGAGAGAGATCAGAGTCTTTGCTGTGAAATCTGAGTGTTCTGCTGGGAGATGCTGTGGAGGGTGCCCAGAAGGCTCAGAAAACCTGGTCAGTGAGGAAGGGGTTAAGGAGAAGGCTTCATTTAGTTTAGGTGTGGATGAGAGAGGCGCTCCTGTTCCCAGATGTGTTAAAGGTGGCTGAGATGGGGCAGTGGTGCAGGAGAGCATTGTGCTCCAGTCACAGGCATCAGGGTGAGGGGTAACCTGTTACAGCCACAGCAGGGACACTCCAGTGAGGCACTGGTTCCTCTGGGCAGCTTGGACAAACACACGTTGAGAGTGGTTGATCTCCTGCCTGCCCCCAGCTGGAATATGAGCCCCAGAGGTCTCCATCCTTCTGGAGAGTGACAGGTGTCAAACCTGACACTG